GTTTATAGTTTGTGTGTGCATTTAGCGTGAGTATAAATTTATGTCACAGAGAAAGCCTAGCTCGTATGTAAACTGAGCACACCTATACAAGTCAGATAAAATCCGGGCAGTGGATATTGGGGGGGGGGGGTCGCCTTGAAAGAATATACTGAATGCAGGTCATGAAGAGAATATAACGTCATAGCGATTTGAAAAAAAAGTTTCTTCATAATTAGTAAGATAGATGTATTACATATTCTCGTTAGACTCGGATCATTAAAAATGCCTATGAATTATTATACTAATGTAACATTATACCGTCGGCTGAGTGTACCATGGGACATCACTTAAAAAAGACATATTTTTGAATTTGAGATTACTGGCATTAATTTCTTTCAATTTTTATCGATAGAAGGGAGACAAATCTATTTGGACAAATGATCTCAGACAAAATATCTCAGACAAAATATCTCACGGACAAATGATCTCAAGACAAATGATCTCAAGACAAATGATCTCACGGACAAAATATATCAGGGCAAAAGATATCATGGACAAATGATACCATGGACAAAAGATCTCAGACAAAATATCTCAAACAAAATATCTCTTTTGTCCTGAGATCATTTGTCCGTGCGATATTTTGTCTGAGATATTTTGTCTGAGATATTTTGTCTGAGATCATTTGTCATGGAACCCTATTTGTTTATTTAAAAACCCAAATTTGTAACAATAAAAGACAACAGCTAGCGAAATTGGCAACATCAATTAATTATTATACGTACTTTGTGACCTGGGTCATCATTACTGCCATGGGCGGACACCTAAATGGGAAGCATCTGACCCCGCCTATCATCCCCCCTTACAAAATTGACCCCGCCCCTATCCCCTAACAGCCCAACACAATTGGCAATCAAACCCCCTCCCCACGTTGAAAGTCGCAGTATGACAAATTTATCATTAAGGAAAACACATTCAAGCAACACTACTGACCAGTACATACAAACCAAAACAAAACCTTGGCATGACTAACCACTAAAGCGGATTACCTCAACTGGCCTAAACTGAAGAGGTGACTAACATATCCGTAGGTTGTTTATTTTATTTCAATCGATGACCGGCCGTGTGATGTAGGCAACTTTAGGTTGTATGGTACAGCGGCGTTCATTCAACAAACGCTGACTAGTGTTACACACAGGGGCGTACCCAGGTTTTCTATGTACGAGGAGCGAAAAGGAGCGTCAGCACGTAACAATATATATATATATTTATATATATATATATATATATATATATATATATATATATATATATATATATATATATATATATATATATATATATATTTTAGTTACTATATAATATATATATATATTTTAGTTACTATAATATATATATATATATATATATATATATATATATATATATATATATATATATATATATATATATATATATATATATATATATATATATATATATATATATATATATATATATATATATAATATATATATATATATATATATATATATATATATTTAGTGGCACTTCTAGGGTTTCTGACGCTCAAGAAAAACTAAAGATTAAAGCTGGCCTATTTGTATGGATATGGGGATGGTGATGATAATGATGACAGAGATGATCATATGTATGATGGTGACGATATATGCCACGTTGGTACTTAGACTACTTGCTGAGGGCCAAGGATCGACCATCCGGCGGGGGCTGGGGTCCGGGTAGACGCGGGATCAGTGTTAAAGAATATCGGTAAGCTAAACTTGACTGAAATGAACGCTGTTTCTATACGGTTATGTTGGAATAATTTGGCGTGAACGATCAACATCAAGACACATGGGGTTTATCTATTTTGAATAATCCTCGGTATACATGGGGGTAGTGTGGTTAACACTATTTCCAGTTGCCTTTGTTTTTTTCCAATGTGAGTCATGTACTTATCAGAGCACGGTTGACTCCTACAGCCACAAGCCGGGATTCGAACTCGACACATTCAAGTTAGTATCTAGCTAGCTACCGCTCGGCCACGCCGTCCCTATTGTGTACAATAGCGTTATGTATTTTCTTAAAGCGACTTTAAAACTTTCTAGACAACTTTTATACTAATTATGACGAATTAGTAGTTACTAATCTAGGTTAAACTACATTACAAAATCGTTTAAGACCGACCCCCATTTTCAAATGACCGACAGCCATTGTTAAACACTGACGCATGCCTGTATTTCTTCCCCTCACCATCACCACCAGTAAACCCACTCTCCCCAACATCTGAAAACCTATTAAATTCAACCTGTGTCAGCTGTGTTAGGGTCACATGACCTAAAGGTTCACAATACTCTCGAACCCATGCAGGCAGATGACGACACATGCAAATTTTAAAGTCTTAGTATACATCTATTTATAACTCTGACCTAATTTTTAAAATATCTTTTTACTTACGCATCGGAAATCCCCGTAACAATTAAGATATTGATCAAGCTATTATTGTTGTGTACAGTATAGGCCTAGCTGATAAAATCGAGTAGGTTCGGATTCTTGAACCAGCTGTTTGCAATCTCAGGGATGGGCACAGACGTCGTCAATAATGAATAAGGAGACTAATCAGCAGACGTGGCCAGTAATTGTTTGCAGACGACACTGATCCGGTTAATCGTCAAGGACGATAATATGTGTGTGGCAAAAAAAAAGATGGATGGGGGATATCCCCCCACCCAGTGTTTCTTCCAGACTTCTTTCTCTGGGGGGCACTTAAAATTTTCTGAGGGGGGGGGGCACTGTTAAAGTATATATTTTTTATATTAACTCCGCCCCCCCCCCCCCCACCCGAAGAGATGCCTGGAAGAGACTCTGCCCCCACCTAACTCATTATAAACGATCGTACCTAAAAAGCAGATCCCCCCTTCCCCCATGTCACAATTGTCATATTCAGAGTTTCTTTCAGGCATCTCTTCGAAACAGAATGTATACACAACATAATCAACCAGTGTCTCACTGATTAAGTCCCTCCCACCCCCTACCCCACGGAGAAAAATGTTTGAAAGAAACACTGATCACATTTCTTACCAACCTTGAATTTTAGTATATCATTGCATGTCTGAACCATCAACCCCCACCCTCCCGCACCACCTACACAGCTAGATCATTGACGCCATTTATGTCGAACAGTGAAACAACCAAAACATCACAAAGTAACCCAACCTTAAACCCTTGCTTGTAAAAACAGCTGATTTTGCATATTTTTATTCCACCGAGGTGGGGGGGGGGGAGACCGCGTGACGGGCGTGGTTAAGAGGCGAAAATTCGAGAAAGGCAGCGAGGGTGTTAAATAGCATCCTGCGCACTTAATCGTCGCGTTAATTAATTAATTAGCTAATTAATTACACCACGATAACAGGAAGCTTCCTCGCGATTCATTACGTGAACATTCTGTTAAAAAAAAATGCCTCTTATACTGAAATATGGGCGGCTCAACGATTGATGGTCGAATCACTGACAAAAAGTATGCGGTTTATAAAAACCTAATGAATTATGCAAGCAAATTCAGATGTTTCGATAATTAGCAACTAGTTTAATTTTTAACTATAGCTGTAGGTCTACTGTGATTAATTAATCAATAATCACGATTTAAATAAATCCGATTCAATTGAATAGGCGTAATTTAATTAACATACAGATAGAACTGAACGCATACCTTTCCTCCCCCCCCCCCCTCCCCCGCATACCTTTCCTAACCCCCTAAGCCCTCGCCCCTTTTCAATCAAAGTCCACCCCCATACCTTTTTTTTTAAATCGCCCAAATTCGACTGCAAAATTGGGTGTTGGCGACAAGCTGTAGCGACTAACTGGGCCAAAGTACGCATGCGCGAAATGGTTGTCCTAAAAATACGCCGTATGTAATAAGAGTAGCATTCTTAAAATACTAAACAACAAGCGATTTTCATAACATGTTATATTAAAAAAACCGGAACTTTAATATAACCAGAGTTCGACTGTTAGGCCACTAAACTATGACGTGATATCACACCCAGAACTAAATAGGGCGCTGAGATCAATGCAAATCCCACAGTCGCTTAGCAAAGAAAAGATAAGCCTGTTTGGAGCCCATCTTAACCTAAATATAGCCTCCAATGACGTCACACTGACGCTACTATAACCAACGTATTTGTATAGTAGAAGGCGGTGACAATTCTTTTTTTAGCGCTACCAATCTTGGTGTTTGTTTAAACCAAAAGTAGCTAGAAACGATCATTCATATTTTTTTTAAACACAAAGACATACTCATGAAAACATTACTCACTATTTTAATGCAAGTCTAGTAAGTTAGTTGAACAGACTATTCTAATCATAGCTGGACAAGAAAAGATATAGGGGAATATGAAATGCACAATAATCGGATAATCCGTGACTGCATGTAGGATCACTGACATAACCATGAGAGTTTTTTTGTGAATAATTTGTGCCTCAAATAATAGTTTTTCAGCATGTATATCACCATGATCTAAAGAAAAAATATATCTAACTGTAAACATACATTTAAAATACGGGGATGGCAATACATGATGTCAATATTATTTTTCAATTTGTATCTCCTCCCCCCCCCCCCCCCCATTATCACAAAAAGTCAGACCGCCCACTAAAATTGCGTTAGCCAGCTATACAGCCCCCCCCCCCCCCTGCATGTTTTTTTTTTTTCCTTTTTTTTCTTTATCAAATGTCAATTAAGCTGAATCAAGATTGTATATAATTGAATTCATTTATAAAAGTTTTTTAATGCTAAATAACTGAATCCCGAACCCTATTCATCAACAGTCATTAATAGACACCACTGTGTGAACACTGAACAGAAAACGTAAAATTAACTATTACCATACACGGTAAATAAAAATCCACCACACACGAACATACACAACCATTCCACATACACGGTACATAAAAATCCATCACACACCAACATACACTCACACACACAACCACACCAACATACACAACCACACGCAACTCACCTGTACGTTCGTGGCGTTGGTCGGGTAGTAAAGCCTAAAAAAAGTCCCGTGGTCAGCCAGTCCCAGCATCAAATCCACGCATCCCACCGTGTACGGACCACTCGCCTCCGGTAAATGTCTCCGCTTGTGTTTCGGCCGCCGGACCTCCGCCTCGATCATACTGTCCACTCTGTCCTCGATCCCTAGACCCACGCATGTCGACAGGGGGATGGGCAGGGTCAAGCTGTTGAACTTAAGCTTGAAGAAGTTGCTGTTGTTTCGGATGCTCACGGTGCGACTGACGCGCTTGAAGAAGTTGAGGCTATTCCTGGAGCTCACGCTTTTAATCTCGTCCTGGTCCGGGATCTCGAGGTCTTTGGCGTTGTTGATGTCCACGACATCTTTGCTGTTGTTGTTGTCGTTGTTGTTGTTGATACTAGCGTGTGAGGAGAAGAATCCCGTTCCTTTGGCGAGGAAGTTGGGTAACGCGCACAACATGGCTACTGTCTGTGTGTGGATGTTTCATAAGAGCGATTCGCGAGATACACAACAGGAATATTATACATAGAGTAGCCACATACACCTGTGGATAGAGAGTTTTTTAAAAATATTTTAGGAATTCGCGAGATACAACACAGGAGGATTAGACATGAAGTAGCTACATACACCAGTATGATGGAAAACTGAAAAAATATTTTAGGAATTCGCGAGATACAACAAAGGAGTATTAGACATGAAGTAGCTAGGCTACATACACCAGTATGATGGAAAAACTGAAAAAAATATTTCAGGAATCCGCGAGATACAACACAGGAGTATTAGACATGAAGTAGCTACATACACCAGTATGATAGAGAACTGAAAAAAATATTGTAGGGTTAGGGCTACGGTAATTATAGTTAGCAGAAGTAATCGCGAGTTAAGCATTTCGCTTGTTTGTGCTTAGAACAAAAAAACAAACATTGAAACATAAGTTTGTTGTAATTATACTAGTCCGTCTCTCTGTTAGGAGCCTTGAGACTAGGAACGAGTAAGTGAAACGTGTTTTCTGTTGACGTGTTGTTATTCTTAACGAGCTTAAAAGAATCGCATCTCTCTGGTTAAGAATAGACTGATCGGAGTTTACATTTGAAGTTAGGATGTCTCAAATATGAGCTGTGACCGAACGAACAGGTTATATCAAGCGACAGCACCAGTGCTATGTGAGGATTAATGATCGACCAGCAACAGTGCTATGTGAGAATAGGGCTGGTAAGTAGGTCACTAACCAGTTCTACGGCTCAATAAAACCTGCATGAGCCATAGAACTGGTTGGTGACCTACTTACCAGCCCTATTACTCAACGACCAACAAGTTTTTTTTTTAAATGGACAGTGTGCTGTAAAGCCCATCAACACACCTAAAAACGTCTAAAGGTAAAAGCTGAACAGGTAAAAAATATTTGACCAGGGCGTGGGAACCGCCTACGTTGCCTTGGAGTTTCTTAAAGTTTCTCACCTAGATCTACGTGTGAATGTGTGACTCCGGAGGAGTAAAACAACACAATTACCTCACCCCGCCTGTATAAAAAATACTTTCATGTGACATAGTCTTTGGGAAATAACGGGACGGAGTGGACTAGCGGTAGTGAGCTGGACTGCTAACCCGTAAGTCTTGAGTTCGAATCCGGGTTCAAGTCAGTAGACAGTCCCTGAGTCCACCCAACTCTGATGGGTAACTAACTCACGTTAGTGAAAGCAAAGGCGGCTGGGCATAGTGCTGACCACACTATCTCTTCATATGCTGAGGTCACAGAAACAAGCGAACTCTACTCTGTGCCCTATAGACCGTCGGGTTTTAAAAGTGAACTTTTTAAAAACTTGTTTTGTCAAATATCTATGAACGCAAGCGCTATAACAATTTATGAAATGGGACTCGGCTGTATGCGGACTTAGGACAATAGTCGCCATCAGACCAAGTGAAGCACCCCCCCCCTATACAGCTACACATGCGCCGACTACAAAACAAAGTAATAGCCACACACAATTAAAAAAACACACCGATGAAAACTCCGCGAAGACAGGAAGTGATAACCAATGCACTCGCGTGCGTTCGAAGTTGAGCAGTCACGAGTTACAGCACGTGCAAGAGTAACCGCTGGGATGTTAAACGGTGCAGGGGAGGGGGATGAGGGGGAGGTTGTTTTTTTAACAGACTTGAAAAGAAGGTTGATAGAATTCTATGGGTTTTTAGTTAACTTGCACGGAAACAAACCGATGCTTTTGGATTATTTGAAGTCTAACACGAGCGTTCAGGCGAAGGGTGTGTTACGACACGGTCTAGTAACCGTATATTAAAACACGCCCAAACTTACACACCATATCTCGAATTTACGACAGACTGGAGTAGATATAGGACTATTTTTTTTTGGGGGGGGGGGGGGGGGGATCTCGTTTAGAGTCAGGGATTAGCGTGGGGATAATTGTTAAGATATCGATACTAGAGAAAACAGTTAAATTCGAATACACCGTGCCTGCGGTACCTGGAATATAGAATGAGGCTCCTGCTAGACGGAACTATTCCATTCAAGAAATTGGTAAATAAATGACGTCAAGCTCTAAGTGGGGAAGGTAACAGGCGAAGTGTGACCACTGGGTCACTGTTATTTTCGCATTTTAAAGTGTTTTTTACTTTCTCGTATATACGAAGTATAGAGAAAGTATTGTAATCGTGCACAAAAATCACTTGAAATTTTAACTATTTTCACCGTATTACACCTCAGTCCTTCATCACATCCGAAGTATAGAGGACTTATTTTAATCGGGCAAAAATTATCAATCCAGATTTATCAAAATTAAAAGGTTTTATGCGTAATCCAGTCTGAAAAACTGGGCTTTGCAATTCTGTCCGTATGTCTGTGTGTCTGTGTGTGTGTGTGTCCGTGTGTAAACACGATAACTTGAGTACCGTTACAGCTAGGTTGATGAAATTTCATATATAAGTATTTTATCAAAATCGTAGATCCGTATCAACTTTTGAGCGATTTCGGATAACCGGAAGTGGTACTTTTTCTACTTTGAATTTTTCAAAAGCCTATAACTTGAATACTATTTCAGATAGATAAATGAAATTTGATATGTAAGTAAAAGATCTAATTCTCTACCTTCTGTCAAATTTTGAGAATTTTTCGTTGACCGGAAGTACTTATTTACGCTACTTCCGATTTCTCAAAAAACTAATGTAAATTTTAAAAGTACTAATAATATTGCGCACTATTATGCGCTTTTTTATTCGCGTTCACTTGGTGTGCAATTAATTTTTCTACGAGATTTTATTCTATTTTTAAAACTTTAAGTATTTAAAATGGATTAATTAAAAATCATGTCTATAGCCCGAGTTCCCATCCCCTGTTATTTTATATAAGAATATTCGAGAAAGTTTAGGGGAGATCACTCCCGGTTTATTTTTAAATAAATCTGTGATGAAAATCGATTACTAACCTAATCTTGACCCAGCTCAGTCTATATTTGGCTAGTCGGGAATCGCTGTTTAAACAAAACAATTGCGGGGGGGGGGGGGGGGCTGAAGTGTGACGACATTTGGCGGATTCAAACTTTTGTGACGATGGGGAGTAAAAATCGTTCTAAAAGTCATTCAGTCCTCATTCTGGTCGACCTAAAAATTTCTAAATGATACCGGTGATTAGTAAAAGGACTATGCCTCCTCCCTATTCAGTTGATCCCATAAACTCCCAATACCTCGATTGGGGTTCTCACAATTGTAGAATTTAGAGTAGATGCTTTAATTTAGTCTATTCTACCACTGCTTTTTTTTCAACCCGGGGCAATACATCTTCATATAACAACAACAGATCTAGATTTCTAGAACTAGAATCTATGTGATAACCACTTTTACTTCCTCGGGATCAATACAAAATACAATGTATGTGAATATGTAGGCCTACATGCCAACTTTATGCTAACCTAACAAAGTCATCTAGGTATAAATTAAATGTATATTCTCGTTTGATTAAGGTTAATGAACAAATAGATAATAAATGATTTCCTATCCATTTTTTTTTTAGAAAATACAGTACAGTAATTCTGACAGGGACATCGTTGAAGTCTAGAAAGATATTTATTTTGCACTAGATTCTAGATCTAGAGTTTAGATTTTGATCTAATTTTTAATTTCAAAGTTGGCTGCACTTGCAAAACCGCTGAATGTGGGTAAGGCTTAGACCTGATAAGCCTGGTAATCCTACCACTTAGTTGTACAGCGCGCTTTTGTTTACTTTTTTTTCCATCTTTAGGCCTATTTTACAAAACTAAACAAACCTTAAATTAAGTTTGAACAAAACACGTAAAAGCTAAGAAGAAAAACTTCAATTAAAAATTAAACAATTTGAAATTAGTTGAGACAATGTTTATAAAACATATGAACTTACTCTTGTACAGAATAGCTCCGCTATAAACTTTTATTAGACAACTTAGATTTTGTCTAACCACTAATAAATATAACTTTTTCACATCCAGCGAACAGCTGTATCCGACCCGCACTCGCTACGTCTCGTCTGCGACAGCAAGTAGCAATCGCTGCGCAGGAATTTTTAACTTACTGAAGTAACCTCTGACCCGAAGCGCCTCGTCGATACGGCCTTCACCTTTAAATATTTAAAAAATCAAATTTTCAGTATACTTATTTTACAAATAAGATTTAAAATATATATGTAATATATTTAAAATAAAATTATATAACTTCATAGATATATTACTGCTTAGTTATTTATTTTAATCTGTTTTTTTATTTTAGGCTTTAATTTATCTAATTTTATTTCATGTAGATTTTACCAAGATCTAATTATTTATTTAAATAACAGGAAGTTATAAAAAGGTAAACACTGGGTTGTCTGTCAATAGCTCCGTGCAATAAATTCCTACACAATACTTTACCTTACGTAGATCTATTTCATATGATAAATAATTAATCGACTACTTACAAAAAAATTATTTGTGTAACGTGGGCTTCTGTTCATCCATAGATAAATGTTTTGAGAGGTAGGATGAATAAATAAAATGATCTAGAATGTCCAGCTGTAAATCAGTGAGTGTGTGCTGTCAGTGCTGATGAACGTCTGTCCAGTCCAGTCAGTGTCCTGTACTCCGAACTGTGTGTGAATTCTATCCTGGGGCAAAACTTTAATTAATAACAAATTTTTACCGCCCCCCCCCCCCGAACGAAATGAAATTTATATCATTTAGATCTAGATCTATAGGCCTATAGAAAATATATACTTTTAACTTTTTAACAGTGTCCGGGGCCCCCCCCCCCCCTCAAGAAAGTCTACCGCCCCCCCCCCCCCCCCCTGGAAGAAACACCGGTTGTTAGTAGTATAACAATATAATATAAGTATTGTAAAGTAATCTCCATTAATTTTTATGGTTAGAAATTAATTAGTATAATAATTAGGGTTAGGCGTATGGTAGGACCAGGTTTGGGGTTAGGGACAGGGTTAACATTGACATTAGCCAGTCATGTGTGTATTTAGTTAACTACCAATAACTCAATAACCTAACACCCCTTTTTTTAAAGAAGATTCCATTATCAATCAGACACCGGTGTAAACATTCTGCCGAAAGGGGATCTAATTATTATGGCTTTGCTGACTTTGCAGCTATAATTTAGTATAATTTATAATCTATCATTTTAGGGATGTAAAATCTGCAGAGGCTAGTAATGTGAAAAAAAGGTGTCTCATTAAATTTTAGTAATTATTTCACATTTATAGAGGGATTTATGTTTTCAAAGTTACAAAAATGTTTCAAAGTTTCATTAATATACCTATTTTTAAACACTCGTATTAAAACTTTTCAGTAATAAATAAAGACTAGCGATGTTTTCTTCAGATGCAACCAAGCACATTTACTTTAGAAGCCATCTTGTTTAAGTTTTTTTTGTAAAACTACAGTTAGAGATTCAGGGGAAACCACTCTAACTTACAGATGGCCGCTGTTTATATAGCAAATCTTGCTCGCAAACACTGCTGGGATGATTATAGATACCGGTGTTCGATAATGGAATCTTCTTTAAAAATGGGGTGTATGGGTTGTTAGTAATATTGTAATCTAGACTAATTTTATGGTTAGAAATTAGGGTTAGGTGTCTGGTAGGACCAGGATTAGGGTTAAGGATAGGGTTAGCATTGAAATTAGCCAGCCATGTGTGTATTTAGTTAACTACCAGTAACCTAACACCCCTTTTTTAAAAAAGATTCCATTATCGGACACAGGTATAAACATTCTCCCATGTCGCTACATCTCTGCTTTGCTTAGCCTACACTCCCCTACACCAATTTTGACATATTAACCAAAGTTTCACCTCAGTATGATAAATAAAGTAACTTTGGGCCCATTTTTTATAATAAATTTTGATTGGCTATAATAATATAGGTCATGGATTTATTGTAAGCAGGTTGTAATTTTTTTACTATTGTACTCTATGAGAAAAAGTATCATCGGCTATTACCATCGCTATTTAGAAATGGTTTAAGTTCAGGGCCTACTACAATGACATTAGCCTCTATAATTACTGATTTATCAGTAATAAATTTAAAATTAGCCCAATACCTGTAACTTAGGGCCAAAAAATAATGATCTAGTTTAGACCTGATACATAATACTGTAAATTGGGAACAGGGCATTTCCCCCCTGTCAATTACCCCCCCCCCCCCCCCCCGGATATTTCCCCCCCAGAGTAATTACCCCCCTGTCAATTACCCCCCGCCCAGTAGGACATTACCCCCCCCCCCCCCCCAGACAGGGTTAGGGCTGGGTTTAGGGTTAAGTTTATGGCTAGGGTTAGGGTTAGGGTTAGAACTAGGGTTAGGGTTAGGGTTAGAACTAGGGTTAGAGTTAGGGTTAGGGTTAGGATTAGGATTAGGGTTAAGATTAGGGTCAGGGCTAGGGTTAGAGTTAGGGTTAGGGTTGTGTCTAGCTTTGATTTTGGTTTTGTGTGAAGTTTTAGGCTAAGGTGGATGCTTATGTTTTGGTCTTTTTCTTAAGGTTTGGATTAAAGTAGTATATAGGTATAAAATTCTAGTTAGAGTTAGGATTTTAACTTGAGAGGGGGGGGGGGGTGGGTAATTCCCGGGGGGGGGGGGGGGGTAATTGACAGGGGGGTAATTGCTCCGGGGGGTAAATACGGGGGGGGGAAATGTCCGGGAGGGAAATATCCAGGGGGGTAATGTCCTGTAGCCCTGTAAATTATAGTTAGAACAAAGTTGTTTTCTGACTGACCTCTTATGAAAACTTTACAGGACTGTAGTGTCTATAGAACTATGTTTTGTTGTTTCAGTGGCTTAAGGACATACACAATGGATCCTGAGTCTCAAGGACTAGCAGGTGGTGATGAAGGGTTTGCGGATGGTGAAGTTGTGGATGATGAAGCTATGGAAGTAGCCAATGCCAACAATGAATCTGATGGTAATTTATTTTATGGTAGTTAATGTACACTTTCTGTAAAACTGTACAGCTACACCTCTTGAACAAGAAAAAAATAAAAATTAGACTTGAAGTATATTTTTACGCTGGAACTTAAAATTAGGCAACTAAAAGACAGGAATTAACAGACTAGTTTGTCTTTTTGATTGATGATAGTATATTGAGCAAAAATATTTTAATTTTAAGCAAACACAAGATGAACATCACTTAAAGCAGTTATGCACAGCTGGGTTCCAGCACTCATCAATTTATGTAAACATTGGTATTTAAAATTTGATGTAGTGAAGTAAATACAAAGTTCTGTATAGCATGTTGAATATTATTGTATTATGTATGTTCTTAAAAAATAGATTTAAGATTTTAAAATCATTTTATAACCTGCATAGAATTACATCATACATTATCACTGCACTATGTAGAGTATATTTTTAAAACACCCAATATAAAAAAAAAATTATTCTCAATTTAAAAATGTTCTTTGAGCTTTTTCTAAGAAAAGTAGGGTTCTTTCCCATGTAAAATTATTTTTTACTCCTTAAACAAAAAAAACTCTTATTTCCTCTACTAGATGAAGTTCTCCAAGGTCCCAGAGCATCTGTCTATTTTTGTGATTTTGACCCAGGGAAACAGGGTCACGACATTCCTAAAGAGCAGGTAGAGCAGATGATGCAAGCTGAAGCATATCAACGGAAAATTGACACCTGCCACTTGTAAGACTTGTTATTATACAGTTGCGATCAGCGGCCCTTTGGTCTCCAGTTGTTTTTATCTTGGTATCAGCTATTTTTTGTCTCTGGACATTTTTAGCTTCCTGCTATCTGCAATTATTTGGTCTGCAGTTATTTTTATCAGGTTTTTCTTTGTACCTAACTTTCTTGCTAATAAGCAGAACAACCGCAGTCAGATTTAATTGATAGAAATATTTCTTTTAATGGCATTTGTTCAGTCTCATCAATATAATAAATTTTTACACTCACTGATGTTTTAACTCTTAGGAAATTCTGGCTTTTGTTTCTTTTATTCTAGTTTGATATCGCAAAGATTTTTCATGTTTATGCTGTAACCAAATTTTTAAAGCTTGACAGAGATATTTTAAAATGTCATCATAGCCTGGCTTTTTAAAGTAATAAAAATTATATTATTAAGCTTTTAACAAAAATTATAGTTTTTAACAAACCAGATTCCTCTACCAAACTATGAAACTTTAGATCTTTGCTTTTAAAAAAAAATTGGAAGATAATTTTCTATATATGTTCTTCGTGCCTCCGCCCCAAAGAGATGCCTGAAAGAAACACTGTTGCCAGGAAGCTTGAAATACATCTATACACCATATCAGTGTACTGTTATTTCCTGTTAAATTTTCTTATCACTTTTGCCTAATTTGCTTTAAGTTCCTGGTTAGTTTTTTTTCTATTTGCCCAAGTGTCTACAAACGGAGTAACATTTCCCACCTCATCCAAAATGGAACACAGCACACATTTTAAAAACAAGTTAAGAATCCTGGATTACAACAACAGATTAATTGAATGACAATTTCATTACGTCTGATATCTCTCACTCTTTACATTGTATTTGTATTACTTGTATTCATTATGTGGTTCTTAAGAAAAAAATGCTTACATTATTCATTGAGTTTCTTTTCACCTCTTCTTTAATTTTTCTTTTTTTTTTCTTTAATGATTCTAACAGTAAGGGTTTTTTTTACAAAAGAAAAAAATCACTTTTCGGACTTGACTGTCTTATGGTAGGTGAAGCAGAGTTCACATGTTTCTGTGATCTTTGCATAAAAATATCCAGCTGCCTTTATTTTACCAGAAGCAGGTCAGGGACTTATAAGAGCTGTGTAGGGACCCTCTACAGATTCCAGCATGAATTAAAAGAAATTTAAGAAAAATGGAATATTTGTGTGCGTTTAAAATTGTTAATTTTTTGTCTGACAGATGCATTAAAGATTTGTTTTTAATAAAAAAATTTGTGTGACAGATGCATCAAAGATATTTTTAATAACATTTTTGCGTAACAGTTGCATCAAAGATTTTTTTCAATAAAATGTTTGCTTTACAGATGCATCAAAGATTTTTGTTCAATAAAAATATTTGCGTGACAGATGATGCATCAAAAATTTATTTTTTGGTCAACAGATGCGGCAAGTGTTGGTTTGATGACCAGTTCAACCAAGACTGCACTGAGTGTGGTGGGTTTGCCATGACCAGGACCTGCCCCATCTGCCTGGGCAGGTGTCGCCAGGTTTGGAAAAGGAATGTCAAAATGGTGAAATTTTTTTTTTAATTTAGAATTTAAGATGAGTTATCTAAATGTGGGAGGGTGTGGTCTGGGGGTAGAGCTCCAAACTGATAACCAAATGTCTTTCTCTTATCCACCCTCATTGGTAGTATAGGAATTGTAATTTAGTAACAAAAGAAATTTTACAATGTCTTCCCATAGAAGTACTTTATTGGTACAGCAACGATAGGAATTTACCATTGTCTTCCACTTATGTTCTCTGTTAATTCAGTAACAATTGCAATTTTATGAAGTCTTTGCCTTATGTTTGATATTGTTACAGTTATCAAAAGGAATTTTACCATGTCTTCCCATTCTGTTTCCTGCTAAAATATATGTTCCATTGTGTTACAGTAACAAAAGGAATTTTACCATGTCTTCCCCTTCTGTCCCTGTTAAAATAGATGTTCTATATTATTACAGTAACAAAAGGAATTTTACAATGTCTTCCCCTTATGTTCCATATTGTTACATTAACAAAACAAATCTTACACTGTCTTCCCCTTATGTTCCCTGTTAAAATAGATGTTCCGTATTGTTACAGTAACAATAGACATTTTATCATGTCTTCCCCTTATGTTCCATATTGTTACAGTAACAATAGAAATTTTACCATGTCTTCCCCATATGTTCCATATTGTTACAGTAACAATAGAAATTTTACCATGTCTTCCCCTTCTGATTCCAGTCCCACAGTTATCATGAGGCCTACTGGGACGGTGCCTGTGGCCTACCTGAGGATTTACAAAGACCTTTTCACATTGAACTGTTCACAGATTCCTCTGAGGATGGGATCTCTCAAGGACTACAAGATCTATCTACGAGCTAAATATGCACTTTCATAGGATTTAAAAGACCAATTACTTTTCATAGTAGTGATATGTTTGTCCGACTTAGCCTAGATGATTTTTTTAAAAATGTGTTCCTATTTTTTTTTGACTGCAATAGGGCTGGTAAGTAGGTCACCAACCAGTTCTACGGCTCTATAAAACCTGCATGAGCCATAGAACTGGTTGGTGACCTACTTACCAGCCCTATTTTACTTTTGCACTGTGACCTTTTACCTTTATTCCTTGGTAGCTTATTTTTATTTTATAAATGTTGGAATGATATTATATCTAACCAATCTGAATAAGCTGCTTATCCTTCATAAAGTGTTGAAATTTTGCAAGTGTTTTAAATTTGTGTGTATGTCTGTACATGTGTATGTTTTTGTGTTTTTTAAATTTTTAAACTAGAATTACCATTACTATTGTTTAAAATTCATGACTAGTACTAGTACACTTTGAATAAAATAAATGTTTTCTATTTTTAAATAACTTATTCATTGTTAAATCAATGAACAGACTGGGCACAGAGAAGATGGTGCTAATCACTATGTATATTTTGATGGTTATCACCAGCGATAATAACACATATATTATTCAAAGAACCACAAATAGTATTTTTTTAAATGACAATTTTCATTTTTTTCTCAATCTTTGTCTTTCTAATCATTCGAAAATTTATTTTCAGCTTCATATGAAATATTACAAAGGCAGCTTGGCTCATATCATTTTTCAGCTTCAACATCTGCCATATTTGATAAGCTTTTATTCCTTTAACTCTTTAACGCACATTTATGCTCAAAGCATAGAAAAAAAACTAGGCTTTACAGGGTTAAGGAAATTTTTATTTAATTTACATGTTCATGTTTTTTTTTTTAATTTCAAAAGCAGCTTCTATCTTTTTTTTTATTGATGCAGCATCATCCATCTCCAACTTGTTTTGATTTGTGTTTTCAACATGTTGTCTAAATTAAAATTAGGTTCTAAGTCACTGCAATATTTTGTTATATAAATATTGGTAATATCAACAGAGGTTTGTGTTAACCACGCGATCCTTTGTAATGGCGAACTGTTATTTTTATCTAACCATTACTGGTTTTTGAACATCATATCTAAGAATCATGTGTTTGTGGTTTGTACACCTCATAAGGAATGGCGATGTGTACAAAATTAAAGGTGTTGCAAACATCTCTTAGGACCAAGAAAAGGTTAACAAAATATATTTATGCATGAAGTGTACATTGCAGTTAGTGCTATTCATAGTGACTGCTGACATGCAGAAAAAGAAGACTTAAGTGTTGATTACTAGTTGTAATAGTCATAGGAATTAGGGGGTTTTTTTTTGTTGTTTTTTTAAATATATGACCTTTTGTTAAATTTTTAAAAATATCCTGAAATTATATATAAAAGATGTGATTCTTTACATTTAGAGAGAATTGTTGATACATTCACATTATTACTATAACAAAAGAGAAAGTGAATATAATATGGACTGTTTAGGTTATTCAAGATGATTTTTCATAGAGAATTACAAAAACACCTAGAATTTCTAAAACAATCTCTCAAGAGCCAGTTATTTTTTTTCGTTTCCTACTTTATTTTTCTTTTGTTCAGGGCTGTTTTAGGCCAGTATATAGAAGAGAATTTATAACCCTGACATGAAATTTTAAAATATTCTAGTTTGTTTCTTTATTACTTCTTTTGTACTGATTTGTGTATACATACTAAATTGGGATATACATTTTCATCACTATTATGAATTTGACAGTTTTGAACACCTATAAATGTGTTTGTGTATATATCAATATACATATATATATATGTATATATATATGCACTTTGTGTATAAGCATAACAATAGTAAGTTTCTGAAGACTATATGGGGTGTGTATTGGTGCATTCTGTCATTCAAAAAAGTATAATATTGATCATATATGTATGTATGTATTTATATATATATATATGTATGTATGTATATATATATATATATATATATATATATATATATATATATATATATATATATATATATATATACTCTTTAAGTTGGAGAATTGAAACAATTATAATACTATATTTTGGCAATAATAATTCCACCAGTTTAATAAAACTTTATTTTCTGCTGCCTGTACAAATATATGAATCTCTTTTATTTATATAATTTGTGTAACTGACTCAAATGCAGTCCAATCCTGCTTGATTTACTTTTTCAGTGTGTGTATAAGATGTGTTTCATGTAACATTTACATTAGCTTTGACACCCTTTTTGCTTTCACATTTTCACATTATGTGTGTGCTATTATGGAAACTTTATGCATTGCTATTGTAATGCTACAACCAGTATGGATAGTCTATATTTTTTTTTAAAAAGCAAAATGTGTTACTTTATTCTTCTGCTTAAAAACAAATCCAGCATTCCCCAATATTTAAAATATATTATGATTTGTAGCTATATGTTGTTTTTTTTTTAACCAAAAAAAAATATTAAAAAAACATATCGTCAGATAAACAAATTAAATTCTACAATTTTTAATTAAATTATACTTTTTGTTTACATAAGTTTGTTAGCTCTCTTAACAGTACATTGATGAGAGATGTTTTGTTTTTTAATCTAAATAATAATCTGTTGTAGTATTCTATAATAAAATCTTTTACTTTGTATTTAAAAACTTCTTATATATTCAAGTGCGCACTACTATTTTCACTATGTGAATGTGGCTTTTCTAGAAATCCTTCAAACATTATTTAGAAGTAACTAAAGATAGGTCAGATTAAATAATCCTGAGTTTTTCCCCCCAAACATAAACAGTAGTTGCCCCCCTGGTCTATGCCAGCAGTATGCCAAGATTGCCTTATCAACATCTGCCCATTTTTGCTAATGAAATAAAATCTATGATAGTAACTTAAAAACTTCTTGCATTTTTTTTTGCATTCAATTTTAGTTGTTTTTTTTTCACAACCTTTGTTTTACAAGAAAAGATGTTTCTGTTTATTGTGGCCAGTATTTTAGCACATTACCAAGTTGTAATTTAGAAAAAAAGTTCTTTTTTCAAATATGTAGTGTTTATCTAGTCCATATCATTCCATCATCAATATCAATCAAACTTTAAAATCAAAATACAATTTAAGATAAATATTTAAAATGTATATCTAAAAGCCTCTTACATTTTGCAATAGCCAGAAAAGTTGTTGTTTTTTTTTTATTTTAAATACAAAAGCAATATTAATGGTAATTATATACTTTAAAAAAGCATACATTTCTTCAATTTTTTAGTTAAAAGAATTTAGTTTTATCTAACTTCAGAAAACTGTGAGATGGCTTATTTCCCTTTTTTTTTAAATAAATACTTTTAGTCTTTGATTGGCAATATGTTTCTAGCTAACTTAGATAAAGGCTTGTTTCTTGGCTACTTTTTGCTCCAGTTAAAGTTTGATTTTTTTTCCCATTCATGAATATTTTAATTTATTCACGGTGAATTTCACCACTTATAAATTTAGAAAAGCATAACCAGTAACATTTGCATTTGGTTTTTATAGTTTTAATGACCAATTAACCTTTTTCTATACCTGTGCAATATGTTTCTTTCTATTTCCTCTAGTACATTTAATCACTAGCACTTTTAACACTGTTAATTATTTTTTTCATAAACGTAACTAGTAATATCTGAAAGTATATTTGTTACAATAAGAGGTTTTATAGTTATATTAATATTTGATTGTCTTAGTGTAGTGGATTTCTATTTCCCTGATTTGGCCATTTTAAATCTTTGTAACAGATCACTTATCACACATTTATGCTTGTAATCTAGGCCTGCGCAGTACTTTAGGATTGAACTATACTCTAAGCCTGAATGTACTCTCTGCCTAATTGTACCTTAAGTCTGGCAGTGCTAAAAATAATGCTTTCCTTTTTATCTTGTATATTATTTTATTTGCCTTTTTCTATACCTATGTCAGTTGTGTAGCCCCTTCCTTCCCCCACCCACCCCAATAACATTCCAGTGGTGCAGTTGTTTCCCTTAAAATAAATTTTGCCAAATGGACAAAGGGAGTTAATATTTTCCTCTACAAGTGCTGATAACCCACACTGTACTACTGATAATCTTACTAATTACAAGTCTTTCTTGTATGTTTTCTGTGGTTATATTTTTTTTTAATTAAAAATAAAGTGTGAGCTGTTGAAAAGTGTTATTCTAGAAATCTGTGGTTTCCTGTGGTAAAAATTGTGTTCTCTTTTAAAGCAAAATGCCTTCTGTTTAAAAAAAAAGTTTAGAAACCATTAAGATTTCTATTGTAAATTTGTGTTCAAATTTAAAAGCAAGTTCAGACTTGTATTTAAAATGTTGTTAAAAAAAGATCTCATCAATGTTTATCACTTTAGTTCATTATCTTTCTATTTCTAGTAGATCAAAGAACAATAACCACACATGACCTGGAATCAGTTTTGAGTGACCTCCCTTCACATTTATCTTTGAAACCTCTTAGTTTTTCAAGCAGTCTTATAAAGCTGTTTAGATCATCTCAAAATTAAGAAACCTTACTTAAAGTATCGTAGAATTTTGTTCTGTTTGGTTATTAGTACTCTTTTAGTGTCACCTTAATTCAACTTGAAGTCAAGTTATAATGCAGGCATTTACAGCTTGCTTGTGTTGGCTTTTGTTGCAGCATATAAATATTTAATATTTATATTAACTTATCAATAAATTTCACATTGTTTAGTGTATTATTTTAAGATTAAGGAAAGTGTGTTGAAATTTGTCTGGTTTTATGTTTTATATCATCTACTTCACCTACCTGGCTTATAATACTTACTATTACCCAGTAGTTAAGCAGAATCAACAAACTCATGAATACCCTGGGTAATTACTGGGGTCATCCATAAATGTCGTCACGCTTTTTTGACGATATTTACCTCCCCCCTCCCTTCCGTCACACATCGTCACAAAAAGCCAGACCCCCCCCCCCTTAAAATGACATCACACTTCAGTCTACAACCCCCCTCAAAAATTAAGTTGAATTTTTCTTAAAACATCGATATTTTTCCAAAATCTTGTCTGAACTCTGTCAAAATAGAGTATTTTAATCAATTCCTATTACAATTTATTAAAACAGTTTTCTAAAATGCTAAATAACGTCTAAAATTCGTTTTCTAACATTGCCCTTTTATATGCAAAAGTGTGATGTCGCACCATCTGAACACCCCCCCCCCCCCCCACATTACACACGGTCACAAAATTACGGACCTTCCCCCCCCCCCCCCCCCCTACGAGTGTGAAGTCATTTAAGGACGACCCCTAACTAGTAACTAGACTTGACAATCGTAACTTAAATCTCTTGCTAGTTGCTCTGAGACCAATCCCATTCTTATCAAACTTGTGTTAAAACTTTAGTTTAGTGTTTGTTTGCCATACCCTTATACTGTAATAGCAGACAGATACTTAAATTATTTTCTTACCAAGATTTGTGTTAGTTTAGCTAATTTTCTCTTTGTGAAACCCACATAATTATATTGCTAGCATTTGTGGTTGAACCTATCACTTTCCCTTGCTGTAACTCTCTAACCCTTACTAAAACATCAAATGTTAAAATATTACCTGCTGTGTGGTTATAAATTAAAACGAAAATTATCTTTTCATCTCCATCCTGAAAACTAAAGCAACTATCTATCTAATTTATGAATCATTAATGTATTCAGTCACATTAATTTCGGATGATTTTAGATACTGATGTCCGATAATAGACTCTTCCATATAATAGGTGTGTTGGGTTGTTAGTACTATTGTAATCTCGACTAATTTTATGGTTAGAAATTAGGGTTAGGCGTATGGTAGGACCAGGGTTTGGGTTAGGGTTAGGGACAGGATTAGCATTGACATTAATCAGCCATGTGTGTATACTTAATTAACTACCAGTAAATCTAACACCCTTGTTTTTAAGAAGATTCCATTATCTGACACCCGTATAAAAATTCCCCCTTAATTTCTATCTAAAATGTGGGGGGAAAAAAGCTTTGAATACATTTTTAATTATGTTTGTTTCTTTGATGCAACACATAATCATTATATGTATATTGTTTCATTTTATTTAAGCCTCCTTTTTCTGAATCTTAACTTGCTTTGTAAATGTCATATCTAATAATAAAAAAATGCTGTAACAATAATGATGAAATATCTTTACAATTTTTTTGTTGTATAATGTGGAATTGATAAGTATTGATAAGACTAGTGATTTGATTTTGGAGGAACATTTTTAAATGTATAATTTTTTTGTTTTGACGTCCAGGGGGGGGGAGGGGTTGAAGATGCCTGAAAGAAACACTGCTTATCACATCAAGAGCTTAAGACCAGATTCAAATCAACTAACACCTAATATCAGTTGATTGTGCAAAAATTTTCAATTGAAATATTAATCTCACTTTATGGTCTAACTAATTGATTTTTAAAACATTGTCTTTTAAAAGAGCAGAATTTTTTCAAATTTCGTTGTTTGTCAGAATTAAATTATCCTATATTCCAACACTAAAAATTAAGAACGAAGAAGAAGAAAGATCCTATATTTCTGATGTCCACCCACTAGATTCTTTAGTTGGTAAAAGTAAATACTAGAACAAAAAAGTTCTACTTGTGAAGACATCATACATTGTCCCTGAGTATACTCATCTTTTCTTTGTACTCATTCTTAATTTTAGTGTTAGAATGGATTCCCTTCAACACAATTAAGTATACAAGTCAACTGGTTATTTGCCATTGAGGCAGATGACTCCGATTTCTGACTGCTTTTCTTTTTGGATTTTCTTCCATAGCCTTTGTCCAACTAAGAACAAACTACAAGGTAGCAGTTGTTTGATTTTGGAGTTGTCTCTCCTAGAAGCCTTGCTGTCCCCAGCTATTGAGCTTCATCTGCCAGGGGGTTTGAACTCAAAACTTTTCGGTTAGCAACCATGAGCTTTACCGACTCAACCAAGCCGATCTTATCTCTAAAAGGTACATATAATAAGTTGGTAAAAGTACAATACAGAATTCAATTGGATGCCACTTAATGATGACCTCTACAAACTCTACTTCACCTGTCTAATGAACCTTGCAAGTCTCAAAAAGAAAGATTTTAACAGCTGATACTAAACAGTAAAAAAAAAAACCAAGTAAAAATTTATTTTTTATTTGTGTTTAATCATTTCCTTTCAGCAAGCATTAAAAAAAAGGAAATTTGTGTTATTAAAGTTTTTTTCATCCAGAGTAAAAAAAAAATTGTACTGCAACAGTCACACACAGCTTGCATCAATTGGAAACGGAAGGTTCAATTTTATTTCAACAAACAAAAGGAGAAAAACCATTTTGTCCTGCTGTATTAATTTGCGATGTTTAATTTTTCAACAAGTTTTTCTGCTCAAACAAGGATTATAATTTATTTAGAAAAATTTATTGCAACATGATATGATGTTATACAATATAAGTGTATTTTCCACAAATATTTTCAACATCTTCATTAGGAAAAAATAATTCAGAAAAAAACAAAAATTTGATAAAGGTATATCGTTTTTCTTTGTTTGCTATTACACTTGTCTTGTCGCAAAAAAATTAATTATTTTCTTTATTATAATAATTTAATCGACAGTGTAAGTTTACATCTACCTCATTCATTTTCACAATCATGTTACACAATTGTTTACATATGACTTCAATGCTTACTTTTTCAATACTCTAAATATAAAACCTTCTTTAACAAATCAAAAGGGAAAAAAAAAATTGGGCCCCAATTATAAAAAAAATAATAAGGTACTTAATTTTTATTTACAGTTTATTCAATGTAACAAGAAATGCATTTCAATATAGAAACATCATGAATAAATAACATGATCCAATATAGTACTCAGTACAAATCACATATGGTAGTGCCATAGCCCAGCTAATAGGCCAGGTATAAAGTTGATCTCAACACTTTGTTATTTCACGGTTTAGAAGGATTTTTTTAGTTCCATTTTTTTTCATGCTGAAGTTGTATTATTTTGTTTTATTTCCTACTGCTTAGATAGGATTTTGGAGTTTAATCTTTTTTCTTAAATAGATTTTTAATAATAATTTTTTTATACTGCTTGGATAGGATTTTTTCAAGTATAAATTTTAAAATAACTGCAACAATTTATAATGAACATCAGTGTGATCTTTACTTGTCAGTTATCTAACTCTTTATTACTTTAATAATGTTACTAGCTTTTATCGAACTTGACTCCTCTGTTATGCATTATTTATGGGTGTAAACAAAATATTTTAAACTTGTTAAGATCCAATGAAATTGACATGTGACATAAATATTGACATAATTAAATGTTTAATTAATTTTTTTTAAATAATTTAAGATAGCTATACAAAGGGCTAATATTGTCATACCTTAAACAAGCTAATTCTGTGCATCCAATCAGAGCATTAATTTTAGTCATGCTTTTTTCTTAATACAAAAAGTAAAAAAAAAATTAATATATAAAAACAATTATACACAAACGGACTTTTAAACATGTACTTAAAAAAGTAAAATCATACGATTATCTTCAACATAGTAATGCACCATTATCCAACTCTTAATAAAAGCCTGTGTTGCTAATTGAATTTTAATAAGGATATTCAGATACTAATAAGTATTAAAGCTATACACTTTTGGTAGTATTTGAATACCTGTGTATTTATAAATGAGCAGACTAGATTTTACATATGTAGCATAAATGTAATAATTTGTAGGATTATTTATTTTTACAAATGAATCTACAAAATTAAAAATAATGTTTCGATACATATTTAAGCAATCCAAGCTAATCTTTATAATTATATCAGTATCAATTAAAGATAATCCTTTTCTTTTTTATTTTAGTGCATGCGTAAAACCTTTGTTATTATAAACCTTTGTTATTATAAATGTTTTTATATATTTATTATTATGTTGTACCTTTCACTTGCTTTTCTCTTTATAAGTTGAAAAAAAACATTTTTTTAAATATTGTATTTCCTTTTCATCAAATAATCTCTTCGGCATTTAAAAAAAAAGTCTTCCTTATTTTTGAAACTCAAAAAGTTGATTACAATAACTTTAAGTATATTTTAACTTGAGTTTCAAAGTTTTTATTTACTTAATATAAACTCATCCATTTCATTGTAAAATATGGAAATTAAGAGGCACCATTTTATTGAGAAACCCATTGCAAATAAATTCTAGGCAAGTAATACATAAAACAAATTCAAGAATTTGATAATCACCCAACTAAGCAGATATTGATAAAAAGGATAAAATTAATTGCAAAAGAAATGGACATTTGCAAAATTTGAAAATAGTATTTATAAAATTGATTTATACTTAAATGAAAAATTGCACTTTTAAATAAATAGTAAAATACTAAGCAATGAAAATAATAAATTTACTTCGTGCACTGATATTTATTTATAATTGTTTAAAAATTATTTTTTTCTAATAACATGGTAGATCTCTAGATAAGAATGCATTGTAAAAAACAAAATTAGTTTCATGTGGCATCTACCTTAAATAAATGTGTTATTATTTCATTAAAAAATAACTATTTTACGAACAAATAAATTGTTCTGCCATAATTTTTAAATTGTAAAAATGATCATAAATTGTATTAAAAACACAGAAGGGCAGTTATGGTTCAAGAATATCATCTACACATCAAAATTAGAAAATTGTGGTAGTTGGCTTGATTCAAAAACTCAAAATATTGTAAAATACAATGATTAAGAAATAAGGGATTATAAAAAGTAATTTTTCACTTTCGAAAAAATTGATTATGACTTTAAGAGAACAAAAACCATTACAATTATATTGTAATTTTGTAAAACCAGAGTGCCAGATTGAATTCACAAAAATATATTGAAAATTTTCTTCATTAACAAACAGTCCTTTATTTTGTCCTGTAAATTGTTATAATACAACTTGTATTTGAAATGAAAAAAGTTAAGGTAAGCATTTGAACAATAAATTTAAAATAGGAAGTAAATAATTAATAATAAATAACTGAATAATACAGTCAGAATTGTATTTTGTACTACCACTTTAATATATTGAAATACTTCTACAATCCAGTAAATTATGATGTATATTTTAATTTAAACCTCAACAAAATGGTTTAGTTAATAACGTATGTATACCTGCTCTTTTATCACATACATGAAGACTAAGGCGTCAGATTTGAAAAATTACTTCCCTTATAAAAACAAAGACTTGATAGAAAAAAGTATTAAAAATAACAGCAGGCACTGGCATTTTGTACAAGTAGCTGTGACAAGCATGGCAAGAAGTTTACACACCTCTCCCACTGATGAACACAGGCTGAAGCCATCCATGGTCCAACAGTTCATATAGACATCACAGAGCCTAGACTGTACTCCTTGTCTTCATTGGAACTACTAGCTCGTATTCTTAAAGCCTAAACATAGAGAAAAGCAAGGAATAGTTTTAAGAAGGATAAAAAATCAATTACACATAATGGTTGAATGAAAAATAAATTAAAATAAAAGAATTTAGGATTCAAACAATAAATGAATGTAAATGAAGTGGATATCAACACTACTAGCATGAGCTCATATTCTTTAAGCATAGAGAAAAGCAAGGAATAAATAGTTTTAAGGAGGATAAATAATTAACAGTACATATAATTGTTGAATGAAAAATAAATTAAAATAAAAGAACTTAGGATTCAAACAATAAATGAATGTAAATGAAGTGGATATCAACACTTTTACATTACAAGACCCCTCTAGCTTGTTAATCTTCACCAAACTTCTGTCTGACTTACCAGCCTTAAGGCACAATACGAGTGGAATCCAGCCATATATATTTTATACATTAATTAAAAAATAAATCTCACATTAAAAAACTGTTTAAGGAAAAAGGCTTTTATTGTATTCACAAATAAAAAGATTAAAAATTCACAAATAAAATAAATGCACTAAAAGTAAAAAATAAATTTAAATAAATGTAACCTTGCTAAATCCATATACTGGTATGACAAAAAAATAAACGCCGAGGCATTCAATGATGAAAATGAAATATAGATCTATATTATGTTATAGAACATCAATACACTCCCTATGAAAGGGAATACATTTTCCATAAGTATTAATTATTAAGTTTTAATTTTGATAGTTTTAAGCATGTATCTTTGTAATTAAACTAAAATTGAATCTAACACAATCTGGTTAAAAAAAATCTTTAAGAAAAACAAGCTCTTATGTACCGGATGAAGCAAGTGAATCCTACATGCAAGTTTTAACCTCCTTACCTCTGGTATAAACCTAAGCCAGGCCTCATAATACCCTGGACACATCCATGTATCATTGTGTGTCCCATTGGCAAACAGCTCCAGTCTCTTCATGCTGCTTTTTGATTTCTGAATTAGATGAAACAGGGCATGTCATATTAGACGGATCAGGACAAATATTTTAAGTCCTATCCATGTTATATAAGATGATGTATCAGAAAAAAATGTCAGCCCTACATGTCACATATTAACTAACAAGAAATTATTCATCAGTAATAACAAAAACTTGGAACAGGTAACCAGTGTTTCTTTCAGACTTTTTACTGTGTGGAGGAGAGGGGTTGGGAGACTGGTAGAAGTATATATATATTTAAAATATAAGTATATATAATATATATTTATATTTACAATCTAAATTCTATTTCCTTCGTGAAACTACAGGTAACATTTAAGTTGGCTCTAGGCCAGTTAAGGGAAGACATGGTTAAATTTTAGAGCGTTCAACTGCTAACCAGAACGTCAGGACTCAAGTCAGTAATATGTCCTTAAGTCCACCCAGCTGTGATGGGTACCTGACTACAATTATGCAAACTAAAGACGGCTGGGTATAGTGATTACTACACTATCCCTTCATATGCCAAGGTCAAAAAAAATAGGTCAACTCTATTTCACCTCTCTAATGGATTTTAAAGTTCAAAAGGTACTTTTTTTTATGTCAGTTACATCACTATGTAATCTAGCTTTTTGTATCATACTACTTTTAAAACACATGATATTCTATGTCTTACATTATAAAGCTCTTTCATCATTTTGGCAGGAACTAGTTCATCCATGGTCCCACTAAGAAATAACACAGGGGTTGATATGGCATCTATCCTTTGAATAGATGGATACTGAAAACAAGTTTTTCAAAAATAAAATAATTAGACATAGAATCTATATATATAATTCTCTTCTTCGAGCCGTTAGAAAACAAGCTGCAAACGCTCTCCCTACCTCCCCACCCCTACATGATTTTAGTGAGCTGTGTTCACTCTAAATGTTTACAAGCAGAGCCAACGATTTTAAACGTAGGGGGGGGGGGGGGGGGGGTTATGGTCCTTAACAAGCTACTTATAGTGTTTTAAAGAAATATTTTCAGTGTCAGCGTTGGTACTGTCGAATTCACAAATTATGAATTATTGAAAATTAGAAACAACTAAATAGCGGCGTATGTTATGCCGCGGGCCGGCTCGTACTTTTAAAAATAACTAACAGCACCCTAAAACTACATGTCCTCAAAAGTTTAATAATTAAAAAAAAGGGTGAACTATATGAAATTAAGAATTTTTTTAGTAAATTAATTAGACATGGAATACTTTTGAAATAACTAACAACACTCTAAAACTAAAACAGTGTCCTCAAAAGTTTAATAATAAAAAAAGGGGTGAACTATAACTTTTTTAATGCAATATTTCAACATTTCAAAAACAGCTTAGTAGAACATACAACTTACTTTATTTTTATAACACCACCTAGGTATGTACTTTATGCACGTCAACCGTAGAATCTTGTGGCTCATCTCGTATATAGACGTAAAAGTATTTTCTAATACCAAGGCTGCTATTTTGGGACCATAAAATGGAGTGGATGCCAAATAAATGGCAACAGCACCACCTAGTGACCGCCCAAACACAACAATCTGAGACTGGTCAATGTCAGAACGCTTTAAGAGAAAATCCATTGCTGCTTCAGCATCTTGGTATAAACCTAAAGAGAACAAAAGATGGTAATATTTTATTGTAAACAAACCATACATTCTAAATAACAATTTTTTATGCTTACACAATTAAAATAATTTGTTTGGATTGAATATTTGTTTTATCTCTTCCAACTACTCAAAAATCTTAAATACTTAAACTGTCCTTCATCATCAGGAAGGTTAAAACTATTTATTATAACTAATAAGGTGTAGTTTAAAATAGACTACATTTAAAAGTGTCTATCCTTAGACGGACAAACCAGTCAACCCCACTTTTAAATATATCAGGAAGAACAGAAAAATTAAAGAAACAATAAACAAAAATCATCACCCCTTTACATCAGAGCAAGCTCTTTTGAAAAACATTGTAGTGAACATTACTTATTGTACAAACACAGCTAATCTAACGTGGGCTGTAGTTATTGAAAGTTGTTCACAACATGAAATATATAGATGGTTTAAATTCTGTTAGGGCAGTTGTTCTTAACCTAAGTTCGATCAAACTCCAGGGGTTCTGTTAGTCAGTCTCTGGGGTTCGGTGGAGGTCAAGATACACACCCGACTCATATGATTCATGATCATATTTTGACAGTGCGGAAGGGTGAACGCGCATATAAAAAAACTTCAAAAAGGTTAAGAACCACTGTGTTAGGCCTAGGTTACTTGTACTTGTACATTTTTTTTTTTAAACTGCTAGTAGTGCTAGTGATTACACTATCCTTTGGGTAGTTCAACGCTTTTTATTATTTCACATATCACTAGCTTGAAATTCAAATGGTTGTGAACACAATTAGTTTTATCAGCACATTTTTAAAGTCAATGTTACCACGTTGAACAAGCACACTGCTTAACTCACCAGATTCACTAACACTGCCTTCACTCTTTCCATATCCTCTATACTCAACCATCAGAACATTTGCATTTAGTACTGTGTATATACCAAGAGCATTCTGCAGTCTAAAATAAACAATAGTGAAAATTTGTATTCAAATAAAACTATTGGAAGAAGTTTTGTTTAAAAAATATGATTTTTTTAGGCAGTAGTTTTTTTTTCAAATAAAAAAAATTGTGTAGGCCTACTTTTAAATATTACACAAAATGACTGCGAATAATGATATATGGGTATGGGCTCTTATCTTAACATGACTTAAGAGAGGTGTTTGGCTTAGTATGAGGGGTAAGTACAATGATGTTTGCTATTGTTTGGTGTTGCAGTTGCTTGTGTAGCTGTATATGTTCGACAAATGAAAGTGTAGGCCAGACGTCAATTATTGATGCATATAACATTTGGAGTATTTTGACATGAAATACTCACCATTGACTATAGCCATTGGTGGTTTAATTTATTTTTTAAAATGTGTAATAATAAATTTTAATTTATTAAATTAATTTAATTCATAGGCCTAAAATAACATATAATTAATTCATCAGAACCTGTGTCCTATATTCCCTGCATTTCCATGGAAGAACACAACTGTGACAGCTGCTCGTTGCATTTGTTTAATAAGAACAACATTAATTCGAGTCCCATCTTTTGTTCGAATAAAATGGTTTTCAAATTGCATTTGAAATGCATCAGGTGTGAGCACAATCATTCTAGAATCTGGTGGGGATTCTGGGTGATACAGTAACATATCTTGGGCATGATACATCAAGCCAAATACTCCAAAAATAAAAAAGCAAAATGCATAAGTTCCGCCTTCAGTCCAAAAAAGTAGGGTTACGATAAGAAGACCTGTTGTACACATTTTCCAGAAGCGTGAAACAATCATCAGCGCAAGCCGTACCAAAATTTCGATTGTTGCGAGGCATTTTTTAAAGAAATTTCTCCCCCTGGATGGCATTATTTCAGTTACAAGAGGGGACTTAGATTCATCAGAAGATGTTCTCACAAAAATAACCATAACTATATCTAAATTATAAATGAATCAACTACTGCCTCCAACGAAATAACAGTTAAAGGGTGTGACTATCAGCTGTGTAACCGAAGTAAACAATGGCCGCCATATTGAATGCATCACAAAATTTTAATCCATCAACGTTATTTCGTTTGTGTGGAGAAAAAAAATAGTGACCACATTCAAACTTACGAAAAAATATATAGAATCTAGATCTGGGCTAAATTCTAGTCAACATTAAACACATAATCTATGAATCTATGTCATTAAATATCAAATTTAAAATCTAGCCTCAAAAGAATAATTACTAGTTACATGAACCCGGGGACAGCGGCGTCACTAGATCGGATGGCACCCGGTACGCAAGTGAGGGTGTCACCAACGGTCCTAACTCCCCTCCAACAATTTTATATTTTCGATTTGTGCCACCCATCTTCTACTACTATTAAATTATTTAACTGGATAAAACATTTTTTCGACATTAAATGTAACGATTTTTTTTTTTAGTTGGTGTCACCCCTTTACTCCCGCCTTGTGTCGCAGTGGTCGGTATGCGTCAATGTGGTCAGTAACCAAGATTAAAATGACAATATAAAAAACCCAGCATAATTTCTAAATACACCCATCCCTCAGCAGGGGCGGAACTACAGTGCCTCCAGACCCCGAAATGCAGGGGGGGGGGCACGCCATTTAGGGCCCACAGCCGACCATAATAATTTTTTTATAATTAAAAAATATAATTTTCTTGCATTTTGACTTGATGGATGTTTTGTAAAAAGAATACTGCAACTGCGGTTGGATTATCTTTATCCGATAGACAACATCTCACGCTCTTGTAAATTATGTTTCCCTTTGTTTTTAAACCATAAGCTGTAGTGTGAAGAGGCCAGAAATGAGTATCTTATTTTCGTATTGTTTTTGCGGGGTTGCCATTTTTTTTCTAGTTCCGCCACTGTCCCTCAGTCGTATTGACTTTATAACATTTTAACCATAAAATAATTCTTCGGTGACAATTTTATAGCACCCAAACACATTTCCATGATAGGCCTACAGTGAAAATTGTGTGTCTCGATTCCCACCCTCTCTCCCAAAAAAATAATGTCACTCTAGCATACACCTAATTTCGTTTTGGTTTTTTTTTTTTTCTGGATCAGTGGCAGTAGGTCTACAGTTATCAATCAAAGGAAGGCGGGTGAGGGGCGCCGACCAAAACAGAGATGGAAAAAAATGTAAAAAGCTCATTCTGAGCTGTCACTTTATGTGCAAATAACGATGAAAATTTCTTTATAGTCCCATCTTCCTCTATTTCAAACAGTAGAGTCACTCGAGATTATCAATTCTTGTTTCTTTACTACAGCTCCCGCGATACAGCTTATGTCAAATCGTGGATCGGTAACGCGTCTCCTTTGGGTTCATCGGCTGTGTGTGCAGGGATGGATGAGCGCTGTCCAAGCCAAAAACATGGTCATTTTTTTGTGCATAAAGTTTACGCCACTGTGCGTGGAGGTATAAACCACTATAGGGATAATATAGTAACAAGGATAAAAGGTTCCTGCCTCCCCCCCACTTACTTGATTCTCCTCGGTGTCCCTACCCACCCTTAATTGTTTGGACAGTGAGGACTTGACGCGTGGGCTACACATGATCCTAAACAACTTGCTGGCTTGATATCCATTGCGCACACGTCAAATCATCAGACTATGAAGCCAATTTATGACATAAAAAACGCTGTTCGGTTTTGCCATAATTTCAAAAACCGCCTAAACACTGAAACGCGACTTATACTTAAATTTGGATTACGTCACCAGATGGCTTGAACGAACAGGTATCTTTCACATAACAAACCCCCAGCACCTCCCTCCCCCATACCATTGGCGTAGCAAGGGGAGGGCGGGTGGGGCGGCCGCCCATAAGGGGGCGCCAAAAGAGCTAGAAAAAAGCTCATTTTAAGCTGAATTATACAGTTAAGAAAGTAAACTACAAAGCTTTACTCACACTGATTTAACTGTTTCCTACATGAATGTTGTTGCACAACAAGAAAAACCTTTACGAGATAGTGACTGGTAAAAAGTGTCACCAACCTACAAACTTAAATAACTATATTTATAAATGGGCGGGGGCTCGAAACTGATGGTTCGTCCCGGGCGCCAGAATCGGTCGCTACGCCAATGCCCCATACACCACGCCCACAACCCCACCTCTATACGGTGTCCAAGCGTCCTTCACGCGTCTTTTCTTACTTTAACATTATCGTGGCATTTAGACAAGACGTGTTTTCACTGTCGAGCCAAGTCCAAAAATGTGTTACTGTTTGTCTTTATTTGTTTAATCTGTAACCACACTATTGTGTGCTGACCAGTGGCGTAGCGAGGTCGGGTGTCACCCGGTGCGGCACTTAATGGTGTCACCCCCACAGAGGCGTAGCGACCCTTCCCGGGGACAAACTTCCCCTCAAACTTTCGATTTTCGATTTGCACCCCCCCCCCCCCCCCGTTAAGATTTCGATTTGCACACCCCCTCAAGTTTTTCTCTATATATTTTGCTATTTTTTGCCTTGGTGTCACCCCCCTAAATGGTGTCACCCGGTGCGGTCCGCACCCCCCCTCGCTACGCCCCTGGTGCTGACGAAGACCTAGGGTCGAAACGTCCATAGTATTTGTAATTTTCTTTAACTATTTGTTTTATTAAAATGAAACGTCCATTCCAAAGAGGTTTATTTTTCCTCCCTTTCAGAATGTTTCGGTTAGGTAAATAACATTAAATAGCCCATGGGCTTATTCCGTTGAATTTTAAGTTTTTTTTTTCTTTCCACCAACTGTTAAACCAGCTAATCTAATTGCTCGTTTGGCGAGGTACCCAGTATGCAAATATATTGCCCATTAACCAAACTTTTAATAATTGACAATTCCTTATTCGATGAAACTTCACCCTATAAATGCGTTATCCTTTTTAAAGATGTGCAACAACAAAAATGCCAGATCTGAGTAAAGGTGTTGTAAGTTCGCAGAGTCCACCTTTTCTAGTCTTTCCTTTGTAGTAACAAACTCGTTTGTGAGAAGTCACATTTCATCTGACGAGGCTGAATATTTTATTACGATGCGGAGTTTTGTTGGCTAAGAAAGTGTGATATCGCAGTCAATTGCATTTGTAATAGATCTAGTTCAAGTTAAAACGTTATTTCACAATTGCATTAGAAATTGATTTGTAATTTAAGATACTGAATCTTGTTAAGAGCTCAGTAGAAATTTTGTTTAGGGGGGGGTCATCCATTTATGATGTCCACATGCGGAGGGGGTCCGAAAAAAATTGACTTTTGCAGACGTGTATGGACTTATGGAAATAAGTAGATTTTGTGTAAAAAAAAATCCCCCTAAAATATGGACGGCATAAATGGATGACCCCTTATGTTATAACTAAAAGGATCGGCAAACATGAAATGTCAATGGTTGCTCCCCCCCAAATTGCGTTATGAAATTAAAGATAAAATTTTAATGTAGAAAAAAAAATTCTTTGGTACTAATTCTAAAAAGTGTATGTTGTAAAGCTTTATATTTACTAGTCAGACTCTGAAAGGTGGAAGTTATGACTCCATGGCCATCAAAATTTATAAATCAAATAAATTGCAACAAGCTGCTGTGGTGTAAACATGTCATGGATGATCATCACATCAAGCAAATGCATTTCAAAAGTGAGAAATGTACAAATTTTTTCAGAATAGGGTGGTTGGAATTTCTGGAAAAACAACTGCTAGACCAGCTCAGCTACTTCGAACTATTCAAAAAATGTCTGGGAAGCGAGGGTGTTGCAAACCACATTTTAAGACTAGGTTTAAAAAAAAAAAAACTAAACAGAATACTTGGTTAAGTCCAACAGGAACTGGAAATCTTAAAGGATGCCAAGTACATTATATAAATAAACAAACATGGATAAATGTCTACATAAAAGTTTAATCAAGCTTGATATACATCAACTCAAGAGTGTCTGTCTAGTGTTTAGTCAAAGAGACCAAATCCCATGTCATCGTCATCAGATTTGTCACTCTCCTCTTTCACTGGAGCCTTAGCTGCTGCAGCAGGGGCAGCGGCTGTCTTGGCAGCTGCAACTGGAGCAGCAGCCACAGCAAACTTGGATGGATCCTTCAGGTATTCCTTGGTCTGAAAGTTAAGTTTCAACTTTATTATTAGCATCAACATTTTTATTTTGTGAAGGTTAACATTTGAATGCAGTGATGTTTAAAAAAAAAAAAATTAATTTGAGAACATTTAGCCAGAGCACCCAACTTAAACAAGTACTTTCCACAATGATCTCCAAAAATCCTGTCTTTAACCAGGCTTTGGTCTGCAATTAATATTACACCTTTTGTGTCACCTTTCACAGGGACTTTCAAGCTATATTTCAAATGTAAGCATTGCACAATCTCTTATTCAAGTATTGTGAGCGGTGGGCTTTAATTTTTATGCCATATAATGAGGTTTTTGTGGTGGACAGCCGCCATGCATGATGGATGATCAAGCAACCAAAACACCACAAGGATAAAGGCCGAAGCACAGATGGATGGATGATGTGGAGAACTCTACCATAGATTGGAGTCAAGACATTATGCATGTGTGAGTGGGGAAAAAGGACAAAACCCCAATGGGTTGCAGAGCCACATGGATAACATTTTACTAAAACAATGAAGCTTAATAAGTATCAGAAAACTTACCCTCTCAGCCTCTTTGAAGGAGTACTCCGTTTCTACAGCAACAGCTAACAGGCGCTTGAAACCATTCACCAAAGAGTGTGGAGCTGAGGCAGCAGTGGGGTAGCCAATGGCCAAAGAGACTGTAGCAACTTTACGTACACCCTGTTAATGTACATTTTAAAATAAAGCATACAGCAAATACTAGGAACCTACTCTGTAGGGTCTGCAAGTGTGCTTTAAGTTAACGGATAGAGGAATATGAAAAGAATTAAAATGAAGCCTGACTACTTAGACTGGAGAAAACCTACCTCAACGAATCTGGCAATTATGTCAGCATTGGTGATGTCAAGGACATCTGGGCTGAAGACAGTGCCAGAGTCATAAACTGAAAGCATAAACAAAAAAATATGGCATTTGTTTGAACACTTCAAAACTGAGCTATTCTAGCAACACAAAATTCAGAAAACAAAAATTTCCACTCAGACAGTTGTTGACACATGTTTATGATCTCTATGTGAGTGCCAACAAGGGAGGTTAGCCCCTTGTTTTGACCCCACACTCTCAACTTCAACAAGCATTTCATCACAGTGGAAAAAACACTATCAATAAAAGAAGCCATAAGCATATCTTACCATGTTCAATAACCAGACCATATGTGAAGGGTGAAATGTTCAACATGTTCAAAAGTGTTGACTCAGAGGAACCGACTCTCTCACCTTCTTTGATCAAGTTTACCTCGTTCTAAAATTAAAAAATTCGCTATTGACAATGTGAATAAAAAAAAAAAAAAAAAAACAAACAAATTTTGTAAAACTATACACACCAAAATTTCAATAGTACCCTTGGTGATCTTGGTGGGGATAGACAAAGCTTGGAAGAAAGAAGTCTTTTCAGGGCCCAGTGTTGTAATTTGAGCTGGGATCTTGACATCCATAGGGGCTAGAGCACCAGCCCTGGCAGGAGCTTGAACCTTAAAAAAATCAAAGAATGTTAGGTGAAGAAAAACTGACTGCCAGACTAAATGCAAAATAAAATAAAAAAATATATAAATTAAATCAGAATACTCATAAACCACTCAGACAGCTGTTGACGCAAGTTAATGATCTTAATGTAAGTGCCAACAAAGGAGGTTAACCCTTTGCTCAAGCCCTACACTCACAACATCAACAAACAGTTCATCACAGAGAAATTGAAATAGGAGCAGAAAAATAGTCGAGAAAAACTAACCTTGTTCTCCAAAAGAAGAGTACGAACTTCAGTCAAATCCTCTTTGGTGAAGACAAATCCAACATTGTTCTTGATGGCTGGCAACAACCTTTAAAGAAAAAAAAAAAAAATTCATTCTTAATCACTAAAAAATATAGATGAACACTAAAAAGATAGAGAAGACCAACACTTTATTTAATATACTAATTTAAGTATAAAAACATGCAAATCAAAACTCACTTTTCTAATCCAGGGTTGGTATCCAAGTGCCCACGGATGGCCTTGCGCATCATGGTGTTTTTCCCCATAAGGATGACTGAAACGAAAACCCCAGTTAGCGCAAGAAAGCACACAGCATTAAATTAGACATAGGAACAAGAACCCAATAACTCACCTCCTCTGCCACGAATGCCTTGACGAATCTGCTGCATCTGCTTTGATCCGACATTGTCAGCATTGACAATAAATGCCTTAGGATACTCATCCAACAAAGCCTAAAACAAAAAATGTAACTATGAAGAAAATAGTGATGATTTTGAGACTGCTAAGGTATAGAAAAAACACTGTCTTTTGATTCAGTCAAAATTGGCTTTTCGAAAATTGTTTCAGCAAATATCGTTATGCCGGGGAAAAAAGTTTGTCATCACCATCAAAGACAGCAAAAAAATATCTTTAACAACAATATTGCATAAAATCAAAGTCACTAAGACACAATATTGATTACATTAAATGAAAACAATGAAACATGGCAATGTTAACCATTAAATAATTCTTATACATGGAAAACAATTGTTAAAAAATAGATGGAGGAACGAAAAAACAGACGAAGTCTTTGATTCAGTCAAAATTGGCTTTTCTGAAGTCATTCAGCAAATATCGTTATGCCGGGGAAAAAAGTTTGTCATCACCATCAAAGACAGCAAAAAAATATCTTTAACAACAATATTGCATAAAATCAAAGTCACTAAGACACAATATTGATTACATTAAAAAAAAACAATGAAACATGGCAATGTTAACCATTAAATAATTCTTATACATGGAAAACAATTGTTATAAAATAGATGGAGGAATGAAAAAACAGACGATGTCTTTGATTCAGTCAAAATTGGCTTTTCTGAAGTCATTCAGCAAATATCGTTATGCCGGGGGAAAAAATTGTCATCACCAAAGACAGCAAACAACGTGGCAAATAAATATCTAACAACAACAATATTGCATAAAATCAAAGTCACAACATTCATTACATAAAAAAACAACAACAATGAAACATGGCACTGTTAACCATCATATAATTCTTGTACATGGAAAACAATTGTAAAAAAATAGCAAAAACAGAAGTCTTTGATTCAGCCAAAATTGGCTTTTCTGAAGTCATTCAGCAAATATCGTTATGCCGGGGAAAAAAAATTTGTCATCACCATCAAAGACAGCAATATTTGATATAACAATTAGGCTAACAAAAATCTAGCAGGTTACAACAGTAAGTACTATCAAAATAAAGAAGCAAACAATTATCATTCATAAAAACAATGAATCTTGGTCATTAAGAATGAAATTCATATACACGGAAACAGTTTGAAACAACTGAGAAATGAAAAGAGTAAAGCCTTTGACTCAGACAAAATTGGCTTTTCAAAAGTCTTTCAGCAAATATCGTTATGCCGGGGAAAAAAGTTTGTCATCACTATCAAAGGTATCAAAATCAAATGCAATATTTCTTAAATCAAGAAAATAAAGCAACATGTTCCAGGTGTCATTTTATTTTGTTTAGTAAAAGCTAGAGAAATACTAAGAGGAAAGAAAAAACAGAAAATCATCTGGTCCATCAGTTACACCAAGAAAACTTTCAGCCAAATTATTACGTTCAAATAAACAGGTTTATAATGGAAAATGACAGGTACAAAATTTTAGTTAAACAGTTATGGTGAAACATTGCAACAATGTGGCCTAATAAGCAAGCCAGGTATTGTATACATGTGTGCAGCTACTGTAAATAATTGCTGTAGGGGGTGGGGAAAGAAAGACTGAACTAAAGTCTTTGATTCAATCACAATTGGCTTATCAAAATCTTCAGCATATATCATTTAGCAGGGGGAAAAAATTGTCATCACAAATAAAAGACAATTTAGATGTTCAAGACCTAATTAAGACTTGATATACATGTTTCGTAGTTCTTTTATAAAAAAAAAAAAAAAAGTAAAGAGAATCTATTAAAAAATGTGCCTTTGATTCAGTCAAAATTGGCTTTTTAAAATTAATTCAGCAAATATCGTTATGCCGGGGAAAAAAGATTGTCATCACAATCAAAGGCATAATTTAGATGTAATTGGTTTCACACAAAAAAGATTACTAGAATCATACTTTGGACTTCAGGCATATGTACACAAATAATAGTTAAATCAATAGTTGAAATCTGATTTCTCGTACAAAACAAGACTCCACCCCTGCTATACATGGCATATAAAAAAATTACAGTAAGAATAATCTATACAAAAATGTCTTTGATTCAGTCAAAATTGGCTTTTCAAAATTGCATCAGCAAATATCGTTATGCCGGGGAAAAAAGATTGTCATCACCATCAAAGACAGCAACAAAATATCACAAATAGCTATGAACAATATATGCATTCTGGCAAAATACAAAGATGAAAATAACATTGCGCAAAAAATGCAAAAAAAAAAAAAAATTCTATTAAAACGTCCCATATTGGAAAACAGCTGCAATTACAGAAGTAAATCAAGATACAAAAAGAAAGAAAGTGTGAAAAGGATTCAACCAGACCAAGCTAATAGACATAGCTGAACAAGATAAGTGAAGTCTTTGATTCAGTCAACATTGGCTTTTCAAAATTGCATCAGCAAATATCGTTATGCCGGGGAAAAAAGATTGTCATCACCATCAAAGACAGCAACAAAATATCACAAATAGCTATGAATAATATATGCATTCTGCCAAAATACAAAGAGGAATACAACTTAACACAAAAATACAGCAAAAAGTGCAAAAAAAAAAAAGAGGCCCATATTGGAAGACAGCAACAATTACAGTGGTAAATCAAGCAATTGACCGTTGTAGATCAAGGAAGTGTGAAAAGGATTCAACCAGACTAAAATAACAGACATAGCTGAACAAGATAAGTGAAGTCTTTGATTCAGTCAACATTGGCTTTTCAAAATTGCATCAGCAAATATCGTTATGCCGGGGAAAAAAGATTGTCATCACCATCAAAGACAGCAACAAAATATCATAAATAGCCATGAATATATGCATTCTGCCAAAATACAAAGAGGAATACAACGTAACACATAAAAATGCAGCAAAATGTGCAAAAAAAGAGGCCCATATTAAAGGCAGCAACAATTACAGTGGTAAATCAAGCAATTGACCGTTATAGATCAAGGAAGTGTGAAAAGGATTCAACCAGACCAAAATAACAGACATAGCTGAACAAGATAAGTGAAGTCTTTGATTCAGTCAACATTGGCTTTTCAAAATTGCATCAGCAAATATCGTTATGCCGGGGAAAAAAGATTGTCATCACCATCAAAGACAGAAAAACAATATATTACAAGCCAACAAATTAATGACTATGGGAGACAGTGACAATGTATGCATTTTGTCCTAACAGTATTAAGTATACAGCAAAAGGAGTCAACAGGAAAAAAAAAAAAGATGCTATTAAAAAAACTAAAATATTTTAAAATGTACAATGCAATAAACCTTTGTAGTTCAAGCTACTAAAAGAAAAGTAACAAGGATAAAATATATATAACAGAACCATTTGAACTGACCAGCCATATTTTCACTGATTTATGCAATTGTTATTGTTTATATATCCTAAAAGAATGTAAGCAATATTGACTAGAGCCAAAATATAGAAAAACAATGATACAAAACTACCTCAGAGAAAAACAAAGGAGGTGAGCTAAACTACGAGTTAACACAAAATAAGGCTAAGTCTCTGATTCAGACCAAATTGGCATTATAAAAATGCATCATCATATATCGATATGACGGGGAAAAAAAAAGGTCATCATCATCAAAGACAATTCCACATTACAGTACTCGCGTAAATAGAATTTTTTTTAAAACTAGCGGCAAGCAATGAAGGCAAGTGTTTTGCTGCAATTTAGTTACATGTAGTAGAGTGAACAAAAATCCTTCAAATCTGTGAACATAAAATCACTACACTAAAACACTTATACCCAAGTTTACAAGATATAATTAACACACTGACGATGGACAACCTAAAAATAGCAAACCTACTGTGATTTTAATGAAGTAGTTAGACTTCCAGAGTTTTCTATCTTCCTTGACCATCTTTGTGTATCAGGGATTGCGAAGCAGTTTAAAGATAGAAACTGAAGAGAAAAAAGCAGAATAAATTTATATAATTTTCAGCGTCAAAGATTTATGTGAAAAAATCAGCTTGAGGGGGTAAGATGCAAAACACCCATTTATGTACAGCAACTGAACTAGGGTCCAGATCTAGCCTAATGTTAAACTTTCTCTTGCCAATTTGACAGAAGTAACTTCTCTATGGTTGTCAACCACTCCCCCCCTCCCCGGGTTTAGGACTAAATTATTAAAATAATTGATTTACAACAACAGATGTAAATCAATCATCGCAGTCTAACTATTAGTATTTCTCGCTAACCCGGAGGCGTGGCCGGTTGCTAACAACAATATGGCGTACGGACCGGATGCATGACTTCCGACGATTTTTCGTCTTAGTTCCAGAGACCTTCTTAGAATTACTTTTAAAAATGTTTATCACGAGTAAAATGGCGGGTTTTCACGCTATAAAAACATGCTATAGGTGGCAAGGCTAAATATGCCAGAAAAGCATTTTAAAATTTGCTTTGGAGAATGAAGGCTAAATTTAAAAGTCGGTCTCATTAAAATTAATAGAACTTCTAAAATATCAGCCCGGAGGTCACAAAAATGAATTGGAGGTTGTAGAACTATTAGGTCTATCATTATATGAAGAAATAAATCAAATATTGCATGCGCTTTTTAAAATAAGACACGACTTTTGAATGACAACCAAATTTATTTATTTTTTTAAACCACGTGACCGCTATTTGATGATCACTAGTGGGGAACTTCCGGTACATGGCCACTTAAAAATTCCAACCTATTTGTGGTTTTCTTTAGCTTCAAGCGTAAGAAGAGTTGTCATGGAGAGGTGTGTTGTGCATTTTTGTGAGTGTCAATAAATATTAAATTAAGTAATTTCGTTTAAAACGAACTGAAACGTCAAAATTAGTGCCCAATGGATTAAAAATCAGTTTTTCTCACTAAATCTAGAATTTACGCAATTATCAATTTAAACATGACCACTGAATAATAGACATCCATATTTAATCCATTAGGCACTAACTTTGGCGTTTTTAGTTCTTTTTAAACTAAATTACTTAATTTAATATTTATTGTCAATCACTGCCATGTCCAACACATCTCTCCATGACAACTCTTCTAACCCTTGAAGGTAAAGAAAACCACAAATCAGGTTAGACTTTTTAAGTGGCCATGCACAAGAGTTCCTCACTAGTGATCTCCAAATAGTGGTCACGTGGTTTATTTTTAAAAAAAAATTTGGTTGTCATTTTTTTGGCTGGTCTTATAAAAAAAGGGTTGACGATATTTGATTTATTTTTTCATAGACTGATAAAACTAATAATGCTTTACTATGGAAATCAATTTTGTAATATGGAAATCGATATTTAAAAAGTTCTAGTATTTTTGATGAAACCAACTTTTAAATTTAGCCTTCATTCTCCAACGCAAATTTTAAAATGCTTTTCTGGCATATATAGCCCTGCCACCTATAGCTTGTTGTTATGACGTGAAAGTCCCGCCATTTTGCGCGTGGTAAACATTTTAAAAACTAATTAGTAGAAGGTCTCTGGAATTTGGCCGAAAAATCGTCGGAAGTCAAGCGTCCGGTCCGGACGCCATATTGTTGTTAGCAACCGACCACGCCTCCAAGTTAGCGAGAAATACTATTAAATAGGTACTAGGATTACGCTCGCGCCGCGGCGTCAGAGGCGTCATTTTTCTCCCGTTACCAGGCTGTTGCGTTTTCGGCGATGACGCGAGTGACGATGTTCGAAAATTTGCTTAATTCGCCGCTTCCGTGTGATCATTTTTCTTGTGATGATTGTTTTAAGGAGAAAAATGGATATCAAGCTTGTTCGTATTTTTTTGTTTTTTTCTTCTGGACCCAAAAAAGAGTTATTCTTTGAAAATAAGGTAAGTTTATTTTATTCATTACAAAAAAACTATTGAAGACACGCGCACTTTATGTAGAGAATCAAACAAAGGGACCATTTCTACGTATTATCTTTATTAATTTAGAGTTCTAAGTTACTCCCATTGTTAATGGTTCACTCCCTAAAAAGGTATGTACTTCGCCATTTCTGATGGTTACGGCTCAAAACGAAAGGAAAGCCGGAAGTACCGTGAGAGGCCTAGCCCGATCACGCTAACAACACTACCGACTTATTAAATATGACTTTCAATTTACACTGTGTTCAGTTATTTTTTAATTATTTAGTATAGACTTTGTTTAATTAATATCACTATATCTTTTGAATTGACAGTTCTAGAAAATAATAGCACATTCCCCATTGACTCTTTATTTAGGCCTATATATTTTATTATTTGAAATGCTGTCATATACGCATACATTTAGCGGTCGGTTTTAAGGTTGAGACCGAGAGGCCATAACGTTTTGGATGATGTGTTGCACATAGGAGATGGGTGTTGGGAGGGGGGGGGGGGGTTGAGTAAGTACGGTGGACTCCAGTTCCGTGACGTCATGTAGATCTATTGTATGGATGGCCCACTACTAAATTACTAAACCAACACACGAAACTGACATTATTATTGTTGGTTATGATTTTTTCCCCCCAAATTAACTACGTTCACCGGGAATCTGTCCTCAGTCCTCTGACGTCACTGAACGACGCGTTGACCCGAGATTGACATTGTTCTACGTGAGCTGAGCATCGAGGGTTGGGGTTAAGAAAGGTGACGTAGTGTACCAATGAGGATAGGGGGAAGGTTAATGACGTCACTTATGGAAGATCGTTTACCGTAGTTTATAATGAAGGATTTAAAACAGTATTCCAAGTTTTCAACGCTCTGTTCTGATTGAAACGCAGTAGTCCTGTTTATTTGAATTCTTCTTTAATGTTGTGGACTTTTTAGATCTTGAATACTAACAAAATTAGTTTTCTTTTTTTTATCTGCGGCGTTTATTTTGAGCCATTTTGACGAGAGCTAGATTCTAGAACTGTATAGCCACGAGCATTAATGACGGGAGTTATTGTCACGCACATATTGACGTGAGCATTAATGACGGGAGTTATTGTCACGCACAATAAGTCATTAATGATGTCAAGGGGTTTGTCGGGAATTTTAATAAGTCGATCTTAATGACCGTATGTCTACAGTGGTTGGTCAGTTTACTAATTAGTTATGTTTCATTTATTTTAATGACATGTTACTAAAGTAATGTTCATTATTCCAGATAGAAACTGCAATTCTACAGCACAGGCAAAGGAAGAACAATGTAATATTAAACAGTGATGAAAATTAAATTTCCTTGATGGAAATAAATAACTTGTTCATCTTTAATTTTCTAAAACAAATTACAATAGTTTAAAATATGGTTTCATATATTAAAAAAAATTAGAATTCACATATAACCATTTATAAAACTTACCAATATCAATATTTATATAATATTAACAGACACACTTACAGAACTTCATTCTGATCAGTTTTCAGCTTGATATTTTAAATAGTTTGAGTTAATTTCGAGTTGTGTGAAAAGTTTCGGTGTTAAAAATATAGAGGGGTACATTCTTCCACCCCCTATTTTAGGCAAACATATATAACTAAAACATTTAATTTGATTGTATCTATTTAGGTTTAGGGTTAACTACAATCAGGCCAATTTTGAGACATAAATACTTAAAAGTTCAAATTTGGCATCATTTTCCATTTTACACTAACCAGATTTCGGTTTTTGTAAAAATGCATAATTTATCAGCTCATTTGCTCTTTGAACAAAAAACTTTCAAATTATGATCAATATTTTGATGGTATTAATGATCTCATCCATAGCCACACATTCTGAGTAATTTTCAGCTTGATATTTCAAATAGTTTAACTTTAAACTGTGATTGTATGAAAGCACTGTGAATGCAAAAATAAGGGGGTCCCCTCCTCCCCTCCAGTTTTTTTTAAGAATTCTACCTATGAAGTTCTCTTTTTATTTTTTATTATGTTAACATATATGATAACTTAAGTTACTACAAAGTTATAACAAATTTGATCACACGGTTTACAGGCTATGACAATTTTAGTAAACGCTTAAAAAAATTCTAACACAGAAATTGAAAAAAATCCTATGTTAAAAAAAAACGCTTTTTTTAATACGAAAAAAAATCATAACTATTTAACCATTTGAGCTACATCAAAAATAAAAACTGTTCTGTTATTGTAATTTTCTGCTCCTTTTAACTGTAGTAGTTGTTTCCCCAAAAACCCAATTTTGAAAATTTATCCTAGTACCTACTATTAAATATGGATGTCTATCATTCAGTAGTCATGTTTAATTTGAAATTTGGGTAAATTCTAGATTTAGTAAATAAACTACTAACTATGGTTTCTAAGGTTTAAGTCTAGAAGTTTCTGGGCAATTTCTGAATTTATTTGCACCTCAAAATTCACGCGTGGTGACATAAGCGCAGCGACCAGTAGATCTACTCAGAGGTGTAGCAACCCTTCCCGGCGCAGGTCGGCGTCCGGGGACATGTCGCCCCCCCCCCCCATCTACGCCTCTGGATCTACTAGAAATTAGGCTTTTTGATGAGAATTACAGAATGATTTTTTTTATTAAAAATGTATCAATAATAGCTAGAACACTAGTAAACTAAGCTAATTTAGCATATTTTAACTTTCTGTGTAAAGTCATTATTACTGAAAAAAAATTCCAAAGTCAGGTCAGTCTGTGGCAACCTCCAATGAACTTGACAGAAGGAAAAAAAACTTGACCCGTGACCTTCATTAAAACAGAATTTGCTTTTGTTTTTTTTTAAATTTTCAGTATACATGTGCTTAATCTTACCCAATAAGTGATAAAAATTTGAAAATTAATTTTAATTACTGGTGTAAAGTGACATAAACAGCTTAATAAACACGTGTTTTCTTGAGGGGGTGTGGCACATCCTGACATCGCATTGTTTGTAACTTTATATTTCTGTGTTTTATGACTATATTTGTTCACAATCAGCATGCTATGCTTTTAATTTTGATAAAGGGTAAGTATACCAAGTTACAAAACCTGAAATCTAACTAATAATTCATACTTTCAGTTTAAAAAATAATGAAAACGATCATCAATGAAGAAAGCGTAAACATTCTATTTTTAGGTGTGACATAAAAAAACAGTCATAAATCTAGCCAAATGATTGGATTCTTGCGCAGCACACATTTTCCCGCGCCTCGTTTTCACTAAGCAAGATTATAATAAAATGGCATTATTGGGGGGTGATCGTTTTCCCACGCACATATCTCATTAACACGCCAAATTATTACCAGTTAATGGTAATGTGTGTAAAATTAATACTTTAAAGTTTACATCTGACATAAGCTGGTTTGCATCTGGAAGCGATATGTAAGAGTTATTTGATATAAAAGACAAGAATTCATAGAGCTACTTTCACTAAGGCGCCGCTTGCGAGACAAACAAAGGAATTAGGCCAAAAGTAGATCCGACAATTCTTAAATAACAGACTTAAATAGAAACGGATAGTTCCGATTTCTTAAATTAACGATGGCTTCGTAATCATTAGTTTTATCGCTCTACCCATTAGTGAAAGCGAAACTGGTCGCCATTTTTGGTAAGCGCATGAGCCGTGAGATGGCTTCAAAACAACAAACCCGGAAGCTGCGAATTCGAACGGCCTACTAGAAATTGATGTAATTGTAAAGTGATAAAAATGTGATGGGACAGACAGTTTGGGCATCCTTCTCGCATTTCACCCACATCCAGGCGCGGAATATCTAGCTAATCCAAGAGCATTACTTTCAAACTAGAATAGACATCCGACATGTGTATGTTTATCGATAATAGGTTATCACATGATCAAAGAAAGAATGATCCTAGTTAAAACCATTACACATAATATTTGTATTAGTAAATGTATTATGCTAAATTAGGTGAATCTTAAGTTAAAAATATATTATTAAATCGAGTAGTTTTGTAAATGGTATACAGATTATAGATCTAGAATCTAGTTAACAATGAGAAATCTGAAACGACGACCATGCTTACCGGTGAGGGTTGACGTAAAAGGATGTAGTATATGTGAGCTTCCGGTAGCCTGATAAATCTGTACAAATTTATTTTGTAAGTTAGGCCTAAACCAAAATTCCCCAATTCCTTATTTGCATTTTCTTAAAAAGGAACCGACTTTTGCAAAACTGGTTTATGACTAGAACGATTCATTAGTGTATAATAATAACTGACTTTAATAACAGTAATTCGTTTGCAGACTTTAAATATTAGGAGCTAAAGAGAAAACAGTCCATACAAATGCTTGTTGCACCCTGGCATACAGATACGAAGGCATAGGTCCGGTCAGCAATCCAGGCACTACGCAAAGTTGACCTATTTTTGCATTACTGCCGTCCACGCAGAGTTTCTTCCAGAGTCTACCCCTCCTCAACGAAATGAAATTTATATAGAAAGTATATACTTTTATCAGTGTCCGACCCCACCAGAGGCGTAGCGAGAGGGGGGGGGGGCGGGGGGGACGACATATGTCCCCGGGCGCCGACTTTAGGGGGCGCCAAAATGGGTTGGAAAAATAAATTGAAAGGTTGAGGGGGGTGCAAATCGAAAGTGTGAGGGGGGTGCAAATCGAAATGTTGAGGGGGGGGGGTGCAAATCGAAAGTTTGAGGGAGGGGGGTGCAAATCGAAATCTTCAGGGGGTGGGGGGTGCAAATAGAAAGTTTGAAGAGGGGGTGCAAATCGCAAAGTTTGTCCCCGGGCGCCGGGAAGGGTCGCTACGCCTCTGCATCTAGTGCCGTCTTCTTTTTATGTAAACGACTACGTCCCTGATAATGAAAGAATAATACCCCATTAGCTTACAGTCGAAGGTTGATCAGTCACCCGTACTGATACCTCATATCTATAAATATTTAATTCTCTAGAGATAAACACACGCTTTAATAAATAGAAAACTAAAATCGAATATAATAATAATATACCAACTGACGCTACCGGGCATATACAGTGAAGTCACTCACTGTGACAATACGTCATTTGTTATGCTAATGACTCATTGATTAATTTGCTCTTAGCCAAGCTGTCCTAAATAACAATGAGTTGTATCGAAGAGTATGTTACATGAGTAACGCGATTCTTGTACAGTCAGCTTAGGTGTGATGTTCGCAATAAATCCTCACCGAAACACATTTATAGTTTGGTGTAGAGCATGATTACATAAAGGTAAGTTGGGTGATTTATTTACTCACATACTAAATTTTCCGACATCTGTCACGCCTAAATGTTGATATCCGATGCGGACCGCACCTTTTAACCCGCCTTATGACGCTACTCTGTTTACTTAAAAAAACAAATTAAATGTAAGACTGTAACATTTTTACAAAACTACATAATAATATCGTATAAATACACAATCATGACGTATAAAATGTAGGCCTAAAAAATATTTATATTATTTAAAATCCTCCTTCTTAAGTAGCAGTTAAATTTCTTGATACATGTTCTTCTTATATGTTTTAATGATTGATTTTAAATTGTGATGTATACACACAACAAAAGGAACAAACCCATTTTGAAATTTAAAAAGAAACGTGAGAAAAAACCCGTTATATTCTAAAACGATTTCGAATGCAGACTAAAAACAAACTTTAAAAAATGATATATTGAGTTGTCACCAAAAATTTTTGAGATAAATTTATACATGGGAAAAATATTAAAATTAAGTTAAGCTACAATATTAGACAACAATCACACAGACAGGTATTCGGACATTGTTACACTTTAAAAAAAAAACCCAACAAAAACGTTATCGAAGTTTGAATATATTTTATATTAATAACATTTTGATTACTCCAAACAAATCATAAAATAGAACTCATATTTAGTAATTCTATGTTTTAAAAAGGAGAATTTCAATAATTCGCGTTCTTTTAGAAATTCTAACACCTCCGTTTAGATAGCATAGGCTACACAAAGCAATGGCCAAGTCCCTTGACATCAAAGCCACCGAATACCAAAAGGACACAACAGAATACGAGGACAACAAGATGGCCGACCGGGACCAAAAAGTACACCTATTGGCAACAACTGAGAAAACAGATAACAGATTATCATCTGCTGGATATCCGGTGGATACAGGATATGCATGGGTTGTCATGATAGGTGAGATTTGTTTTAGCTGAAAGATATGAAATACGGAGGGGATGGGGTGAGTTATTTTTATGTGAGGTAAAGCAGAGGGATGAGACCCAGTGGCGTAGCCAGGATCGTCTCAAAGGGGGGGGGTTCCAATTTTTTCCCGGGGACAAACTTTCGATTTGCACCCCCTCATACTTTATATATATATATATATATACCGAGGGGTCTATGGGGGGGGGGGGTATGACCCCCTCCCTACCCCCCCCCCTGCCTACGGCACTGATGAGACCAGCGGCAGAGCGCCAGACGGTTAATAAGAAAGTCTCCAGTTCGAATCCTAGTTCAAGATAGTCCCTGAAGCATCCTTAACCCACGCTAAGGAAAGTAAAGACGACTTTTTTTCCTTTTTCGAACCTGATGGTCCATGGGGCAAGTGAAATAGAGTTCACTTGTTTCTCTGACCTCGGCTTATGAAGCGATAAAGTGGTGAGCACTATGTCCAGCCGAAGTTACTTTCACTAACGTGAGTTAGGTAACCATCGGATCTGGGTAGACTTAAGGACGTTCTACTGATTTGAACCCTGATTTGAAATCGAGATATATCAGTCGAGCGCTCTACTGCTATGCAACACTGTCCTCTAATAGAGATGAGCCTTATTTTGCTTTATAGAAATAAGACATCACACTCTGACCAAAAAAAAAAAAAAAGATGACTGGTATTTACTTATCAATTCTTTGACTTAGTAGCTCTTCAGCCGCGTTTTTAAAAAAAAAAAATCTTATTAAATCATGCCTCGTTTTTTTTTTATTCTTATTAAATCCAGCCTCGTTTTTTAAAATTCTTATTAAATCCAGCCTCGTTTTATTTATTCTTATTAAATTCAGCCTCGTTTTTTTTTAAATTCTTATTAAATGTAGCCTCGTTTTTTTTTATTCTTATTAAATCCGGCCTCGTTTTTAAAAAATTCTTATTGAATTCAGCCTCGTTTTTTTATTCTTATTAAATCCAGCCTCGTTTTTTGTTATTTTTATTAAACCCAGCTTTGTTTTATTTATTCTGATTAAATTCAGCTCTTTTTTTAAAAATTAAATCCAGCCTCGTTTTGCGTGCAGTGTTTGCTGGTTGGCTACAGGAAATCAGAGGGCGTGGTTTTCGTGGCATATCAGTCCAAATTTGGATCAAGTGCTTCATTGACGTCACTAGTTGGTTGCATAATGGAAGGAGTGAGCAGTCTGTCTTGTAAGTCATCCATTCGAACTAGTCTGTACTGACTGATAATAAATCGAAAAGGTTGAGGGGGGAGCAGAGGCGTATCGACCCCTCCCGGCGCACGGGGACAAACTTTCGATTTGCACCCCTCCCTCAAACTTTCGATTTGCACCCCCCCTCGAACTTTTCATTTGCACCCCCCTCAAACTTTCAATTTGGCGCCCCCCCCCTAAGGTCGGCGCCCGGGGACATATGTCCCCCCCAGAGGCGTATCCAGGTTTTCGTTGTAGGGGGAGCGAAATGAGCAAAAAAAGGCGCCGAATTTTTAACACGTTCTATGTACGTGTATTAAATACATATATATAAATATATATATATATATATTTATATATACATATATAATTACTGGCTGTATGTCATTACTTCGCTATGATGTAAAATAAATTGTAGGTAGCACTTGAAGAAATAAGAAAAAAAAACACAATGTAGGCCGACAAAACAAAAAATGTATCAATCTAAACAATATATATATACACTACAACCAAAAACAATAAACGCAATACAATCTGTTTTGTAATTCTTGTAAAAAAAATTTACATAATAATTCCTGGGACATTAATTTAGACAAGCGAAATAAGGGAAATAATCCCGCTCTTAATATAAAAATGTATATATCTACATATTTATTTATAAATGTCAAAACAAATCAAATCAATAATTACTTTAGAATGTAATAAAGTTGTTTAACAATATTCGTGTTGACAATTTTTTTTGTCTACAATCAGAATTAAATATATCGTCATCATAAATGCTAAAGTATTACAGCATAATGAAACTTTTTAAAATCAGAGTTGGTATAAAAACACGCTTTAAAATAAAATAGAAAAACATTTTGAATAGCAGCTGACATTTAATTTACATTTAACAAAAATGTCGGTCTTTTAGTTCAGATCATACATCTTTTAATTAACTACTGCTTTTTGTGTTCTTTAAACATCATTTTTTAACATAGTGATCGGGTATGGGTTAGATCACTGTATTGATCACACACCTTTTTACTGGTAAATGCAAAAACAGTATTCACAGAGTTTCACCTGTTTCAAAAGCTATGATTCAGGCGGCAAGGTACTTTGGTAAAACGTTACGCGTTTTCCCAAATGTACTAACAGATCACTTCGGGATTAGTTGGGGGGGGGGGGGGTCAACTTCATTCACCACTGTCCGGTAACTTTAGGTCAATTATCCAACCCAGTGTATACCTAGGTGTGACATTAATGTCGCTCTACACAATTGTGGTGGTGAGGTATGTGTGTGTGTGGGGTGTGAGTGGGGGATGGGGGGGGATAACCAACTCAGAGTGAACATAGCGTCAGTTTTTAGATGACTGTTATAAAGATACATATTCAATTACACATATATACTGATTCAGAAATAGATTTAAATAAGTAGCAGTGGTATTATGACAATATTTTTTTTACAGAGGGGTCCATGGGGCGATGGGGGTTGTAATTGTTTCATTTAATTTGTAATCGTAATCACTATCGCCCAAACTGTCATAATACTACTACTTCATCGTGATGAGGTTGTTGACCTTGTCAAATTTTCCCCACCACTACGCAGTTTTCCCATAAGTAAATTTAAATAGAGGTGCCACATCAGTTGTATTTGTGTCTGTATTGTAATTTTTAAAATTAATTACACGATTAAAACTGTATATATAAAGTAATTATGTGTGAAGATTTATGTATAATATTTTCTAGATCAATTATTCTTAAGCAAATACATTATACAGTTGCCTTAAACTTAACACCCCTCTTGCCCAGTTGTACTACCCGTAGAGGTTTTTTAAAATTGCAATGCATCGTAATGGTTATTTTTAGAATGACAAACTTGATACAGCTGTTAATACGTGTTGTAAACGTAGACGCTACTAGACTAGTACAATTCTGCTTAATTGCTGCATGAAAAGAAATCTTGTGATTTACATAGATGTGCCGACCAAAAATAATTTTTTAACAAAAATGATTGTTTAAAACTTTGAGTTTAAAAAGTTTCCAAAAAAGGCGCCACTTTGCTGAAAATGGCCAGAGGGGGAGCGGCCGCTCCCCCTGCTCCCCCCCTGCGTACGCTACTGGTCCCCCCCCTCGCTACGCCTCTGGGGGGGAGGGAACGCTAAGTAAGCCACAGTTCCTACTAGGCGGGGATTGAGGGGAGGGGAGGTGTCGTATCAGTCGTGACACAAAAGAAAAATCGTAACAATTACTTCAAAACAAAATTGTATCCTGAAATAGATATGGAAGAGTGGTGATACCAAACCGTAAGAGCGGAATTGTTGTAGGGACGTCACAATCAGTAACCACATCGAGTGACACCCCCCTAGTAACGCCACGGTTACTATTTATCGTTGATCTAAGACATTCTAAGTAATAGACAACCACACGTTTTAAAGTTTAAAATTATCTCCCTTAATTAATAGACAGACTATACGATTTTAAATTAAATATTATCTCCCTTTAATTATTACCACTTCGTTAAAAATACGAGATCATTTGGCAGTTATTATTAGCTCGTATATGAGGAGCTAACATAACTGCACGCATACAGAAACCTTTAACATACAGAATTCAGATATTTTTTGTCACTTTATGTAGTGATGGCTGAATCACTTGTCAAGATCAATAGAACACATTGAAGTCAACCTTATAATTACTACCTTTATGCTCTTCGTAATTAGCATAATAATGCTAACACATGTCACCGTCATTGTCAGCATATGGTTGCCGTGTGAATATTTGTGTTAACTAGTGACGGATGGTTGGTTAACATTATGTGTACTTTTGCATTCGTGTTAATGAAAGTAAGACAGGTGGCCATTTGCCAAGGGAGGTTACTCTAATTTTAAAAAGACAACGTGGTATCTTTCACAAATTATATTCAAACGGTGTAACAGTATTATTAAAACATAACCTGAGTATTTAATTCTTAAAGAGGTGAAAAATATAGGCTATATATTAATAACTATATATAGGCCTATGGGCCTAATAATACGCCTTTTTGAAAAAAAAATATAATTAATAGGCCCTACTACTTTTATACTACAATTATTACAGATACTAATATTGATTAAAATACAATTTAATATGGATTGTTGAAAGAAAAGTAGATATTCTTTAAAAAATAACTGTATTACAATCGATACAATATATTAATACTCTACTTACGCTTCAAGGGCTATTAAATTGAAAGGGAGATAATGCATGATAATTAATAAAAATGGTACATAACTCAACAAAATGTATTAGTATGTTTTAAATGTTTTTTTAAAAAATATTCCTACTTATAATTCACTTACAAAATCTAAATAATTATTAAAATTATTCATTTTAATAAAATACAAGGTAATCGTTTGAAAATTTTATAAATTGCTTTTAAAATCTACAATATATAACAAATATGCAGAAATTGAAAACCCATAATCTTTTTCACACCGTTAAAAGGGCTGGTTGCAATTTTTTTCTTCTTTCATTAACTCTGGTTTCTCTTCACAACGCGTAAATCTTTCGCCTTTTACTAATTAGATTGAAAATATGTATTTTTTGCCTTGTCGTAGGGTAATAAAGAATGTATGATTGGTATGATTGGTACCACATATGTCTTATTTGAGCATCCTCCACATAGTATATACATTGTAGCAGTTATTTCTTTATTTAGTACCAAATATTGTTCAACGTGTATTAAAATTAAAGCACATAGCGTTTTGACCAATAACTATTTTATAAATTATTTTTCTCAAACATGTATAACATTAAAATATATAGGCCTATTATTTACGTGTAACGGGTACCGACGGCTACGTAATAAGGGGGTCGTCCATAAAAGACGTCACACACGTAGAGGGGGGGGGGGAGGGGGGGTCCATAATTTTGTGACGGTGTGTGATGAGGGGGGAGGATGGGTGTTCAGATGGTGTGACGTCACACTTTAGAGTTATAAAAAAGCAATGTTTTAGGCGTTATTTCGTGTTTTAGAAAACGGTTTAAATAACTTATAATAGGAATTGATAAAAATACTCCATGTTGACAGAGTTTTTAGAAAGACATCGATGTTTTAAGAGAAATTCAACTGCAATTTTGAGGGGGGGGGGGGTTGTTGGCTGAGGTGTGACGTCATTTTAGTGGAGATTGTTTGGCTTTTTGTGACGATGTGTGACGGAGGAGAGGGGGGAGGTAAAAATCGTCAAAAAAGCGTGACGTCTTTTATGGATGACACCTAAGGATATGATCCAAATTAATGCTATGAAGTTTTATCCATCCTCAGCATTTTTCGTTATGAGGTATCTCATCAAAATTTGGAGTCCAAGGACGATCTCGTTGATTGGCTCGTTCTTCTTAACGGTGGGAGTAGCTGGTAACAGCCTAGCGATCCGCTATGAATATTTCTGCTTAACGGAAGGAGTTTGTTTCGGTAAGTCTTGAATTAACTAGACGAGTTGTGTTGTTTCTTATATTGATTAAATGCAGAGGCGTAGCGACGGGGGGGGGGGGGGGTGCGGACTGCACCGGGTGACACCATTTAGGGGGGTGACACCAAGGCAAAAAATAGTAAACTATATAGAGAAAAACTTGAGGGTGGATGCAAATCGAAAGTTTGAGGGGGGGGGGGGGGTGCAAATCCAAAATTTGAAAGTTTGTCCCCGGGAAGGGTCGCTACGCCTCTGGGGGGGGGGGGGAGTGACACCATTAAGTGCCGAACCGGGTGACACCCGACCTCACTACGCCACTGATTAAATGTATTGATAAGTGATCAACAGATATAAATTTATCGGAACCGTATGTTAGGTATGTAATGGTATACTAGGCTGGACCTGATGTTGACATATAGGCCTAGTATAATGCCCCTACTCTACTTCGCGGGGCCGCCAACTACAGCTCTCCAGAGTTCTCTGTCCTGCTGGAGTATGGGCCACCAACTACAGCTCTCCAGAGTTCTCTGTCCTGCTGGAGTATGGGCCACCAACTACAGCTCTCCAGAGTTCTCTGTCCTGCTGGAGTATGGGCCACCAACTACAGCTCTCCAGAGTTCTCTGTCCTGCTGGAGTATGGGCCACCAACTACAGCTCTCCAGAGTTCTCTGTCCTGCTGGAGTATGGGCCACCAACTACAGCTCTCCAGAGTTCTCTGTCCTGCTGGAGTATGGACCACCAACTACAGCTCTCCATAGTTCTTTGTCCTGCTGGAGTATGGGCCACCATCTACAGCTCTCCAGAGTTCTCTGTCCTGCTGGAGTATGGGCCACCAACTACAGCTCTCCAGGTTCTTTGTCTTGCTGGAGTATGGGCCGCCAACTACAGCTCTCCAGAGTTCTCTGTCCTTCTGGAGTATGGGCCGCCAACTACAGCTCTCCAGAGTTCTCTGTCCTTCTGGAGTATGGGCCGCCAACTACAGCTCTCCAGAGTTCTCTGTCTTGCTGGAGTATGGGCCACCAACTACAGCTCTCCAGAGTTCTTTGTCTTGCTGGAGTATGGGCCGCCAACTACAGCTCTCCAGAGTTCTCTGTCCTGCTGGAGTATGGGCCACCAACTACAGCTCTCCAGAGTTCTCTGTCCTGCTGGAGTATGGGCCACCAACTACAGCTCTCCAGAGTTCTCTGTCCTGCTGGAGTATGGGCCACCAACTACAGCTCTCCAGAGTTCTCTGTCTTGCTGGAGTATGGGCCACCAACTACAGCTCTCCAGAGTTCTTTGTCTTGCTGGAGTATGGGCCGCCAACTACAGCTCTCCAGAGTTCTCTGTCCTGCTGGAGTATGGGCCGCCAACTACAGCTCTCCAGAGAGCTCTGTTCTGCACTACGTAGTTTAGGGTTAATTTGTAACGCTGCTAAGTAATTTAATCTTTTCTTTGTACGCTGGCCGGGTGGTATCAAATTTGTTTATTGACGATTTTGCTTACTAACCGAACTTATACAAAACCTTGACCAAAAAGCTTGCCTTAAATAAACGTAAGCACAAAATTATTCCTAGCCTTAAAATCAACCTTAACTCTAGCTTAAATAGTAATAGCTCAAATAGTAATACTAACCCTAACTTTAACGGTTCCCTGAAAAATGCGCAAACGGAAAACTACGCAACGGAAAACTGCGCAACGGAAAACTGCGCAATCAGTAAATTACAAATACAAACTATATACTAATACACTATAATTTTGTCATATTTCATGGAAAAATGTTTATTTTGCTACAATCTACATGTGTTAATTCGTTTCTAATGTATATAAATGCTCAATTTTGAGGAAACAAAAATGCCATCGCGCACTGAGTTTCTTCCAGGCATCTCTTCGGTTAGGGGGGGGGGGCTCAGTGTTTCTTCCAGACTTTTTTTATCTGGGCGGTGGGGGGGGGGGGGCACTTGAAATTTTCGAGGGTGCGGACTAAAAATTTCAGGGGAGCGGACACTGTTAAAAGTATCTATTTTCTATATAATTTCCATTTCGTTCGGGGGGGGGGGGGGGGGGGGGGATGCTCCGAAAAAAGTATACCCCCCCCCCCCGAACGAACTGGAATTTATATAGGAAATATATACTTTTAACAGTGTCCGACCCCCCGGAAAATGTTGACCGCCCCCCCCCTCCGAAAACTAACAAAAATCCTTTCATTTTTTACAGGACTTGCCTACAGTATGTTGTATGGCCCAGCCTTCTATGTCGTCACGCAATACTTCGTGAAGCGTCGCCCCCTAGCGGTAACCTTCGCCTCGTGCGGCACAAGTTTGGGCGGGATTATCTTCCCTTTACTCATCAACCATCTGTTGGATAACTACGCGTTTTCAGGCGGCCTACTACTCACAGCGGGGGTTCTGATGCATTCGTTTGTGTTCAGTTCGCTATACACCCCCATCGACAACTACCCCCGTAAAAACACTTCTTATACTAATAACTACTCTACTATTCTAAATAACACAACTCTAAAAAAAGAACCCGATTTAACTTTATGTTGTTATAATCGAAATAATAATAAAACATTGAAACAGAGCGAAGACGTAGAAATGATTAAAATAAATAAAGATCCGGATTTTTACGAAAATCTCCGATCCAATCAGATTCAAGCACCACAGCTGCAAACTTCGTTGACGAATATTTCATCCAATCATTTAGTCACTAACTTAGCCAGTAAGACAAAACTAGAATCGTCGAATGGTTTTAATAAAAACACGACGCTAATATCCAACAGACAAGTCGATGATGATATCGAAGAAGAAATAACAAACGAGAAATCGATTACTGCGAGTCACACACACTACTTACCACCAAGTTGTGAGACCTCTAACGAGAAGGGAGATAACCAAAACAATTCACCAAAACAGAAATCACCTCCCTTGGATTCTTTATCCAACGTTTTAACTACACCACACGCATTGTCTGAAAATAAATTACCAGACGATGGAATGTTCGAGAAAGCTGTGAGTACGGACAAGACCTCGTCTATCAGAAGTAACGAGGTACCGGACACACAAGATGAATCATCGACCGCTGGTAAAAGCATGTTGATTAGGTCACTCAGCTTTTGGGCTCTGATTCTGTTTTATTTCTGTGCAATGGCGGGACACGTAAGTCAATTTTTGTTTTCAAATTTTTTTTTTGTTTATCGCTTTGTTTCCTAGATGACACTTCGGTCTATACACGCCTTGTTTCTAGCTTCTAATAACTGTACCTTGACGTGAGATACTTTTCATTTTAAGGCCTGTTGGATTCATCTTTTCCAATTTTGTTGTGACAAGACACATGGGACCGGCACAGAAAGCTCTCTCTACTTTTTTCGGTCTCCAACAATTTTCCTGGCAGCTCCCCAAGACAGTCCTGTCCAGAGTTTCTTTTAGTCGTCTCTCTGGGGGTCTGGGGGGGGGGGGGGGGCACAGTCACCCCCGAAGAACGTCTACTGACCCCCAGCCCCCCAAACGAAATAGAATTTATATAGAAAATATATACTTTTACCAGTGTCGCCCCCCCACCCAGACAAATTTCAAGTGCCCCCCCCCCCTTCTCCGGAGAAAAAATGTTTTAAAGAAACACTGGTCCTGTCTCTGCCAGCTGCTTCTTCGCCTTGCGCCACCACATCTCCCTTAGCCTTTTCTGCTTTCTTTTCCCTTGATTAAATGATTATATTCTTAATCTATAATCTTGTCTTAGTCGTTACCCGCCATTTTCCTCCCCGCCTTCACGAACAGACCCTCACCAATCTTACATTTTACTTCTCATCACCCAGGTCTATCTTGTGTATTGCCATCACTTTGGCCTTTTCTGCTTTCTTTTCCCTTGATGTGTGTAGGATTAAATTATAATATCCTTTATTTATAATCTTGTCTTAGTCGTTACCCGCCATTTTCCTCCCCGCCTTCACGAAAGAGCGGGGCTTCACGGCAGCAGACGGCGCGTTCTTCGCGTCCCTCATGAACGTCCTGGACATCCCGGCGCGCATCATAGGGGGCGTGGTTGTCAACTTCCGGCTACTCCGCCCCACCACCTTCTGCATCGGCCCCATGTTGGTGGTCGGCGTAGTGGGGAACCTCATGACTGTCTGTACAAGCTACGAGTGAGTAGATTTTTATATTGATATCGACCATGTTATCTCTAATCTGCGCAGCTACGCAGTAATAGGGCTGGTAAGTAGGTCACCAATCAGTTCTATGGCTCATGCAGGTTTTATTGAGCCGTAGAAATGGCTGGTGACCTACTTACCAGCCCTATTGTAAAACTGCCGCGCAGGCATTTTGTATACAGTGTTTCTTCCAGACTCTGGGGGTGCACTTGAAATTTTCGGGGGGGGGGGGGGGGACTAAAAAAAATTGTTTGGGGGGGGGGCACTGTTTAAAGTATTTATTTTCTATATAAATTCCATTTCGTCCGGAGGCGGTAGACTTTCTTCGGTTGGGCTCCTGCCCCCCCCCCCCCTTCCAGAAGAGATGCCTGGGAGAAACTCTGTTTGTAAAGTACAGATATCCTTGAATAAGACTTTTTAGTTCAACGCACAGAAAATATATTTGCACTTAAACTTTGACTGCTTAGTGGAAATGTATGTAGTATACGAAAATTATTATTAGTGAAAGGCACGAATTATATAATTATATAAAGTGGTAGTGCAAGGATTTATAATTTTGTTGTATTGTGTTATATTAGGCGTCATAGAGCTGCTGTCTAAAAATGACAATTGTAGGGCAGTTCTAGGGGAGGCGTGAAATGCTCATCAGAATGTTACATTTAATTGTATAAAAGCTACCCGTTCTTTCTATTCTTCTTCGCTGGTGTACATACATTAATGAAACCCAATTAAATAAACATTTACAAAAATATAATAATTTAATAATAATAATAATGAAATTGTTTCGAAACCTACTAATAAAGGTACATAAATACAAACAAGTATTCACTAAAACGGGGGACATAACTTATTTTTCTTCATAGTTTTTATTTTTATATAGAAGCGCATTTCCCAACACAATAAAGTATTACATGTCAACCTGTTATGCGTCATATAACTTCGATTTCAGCCTGCTTTTGTTTCTAAATTTGCTTCCATAGCCTTTTTCCAACCAAGAACTTAACTACAAGGCAGTAGTTGTTTAATTTTAGAGTTTTTTTCTTTCTCCTAAACGGGTTGCTAACGAGTATCATATTCAGGGGTTCGAACTAAGGATTTCTGTAGAGAGCAATCGCTCGCTTTCCTACCCGACCAGAAAGTCCCCAGTTTTTTTCCATGTGATGACAGACAGACTGACAGACAGACTAACAGACACTCACCAATCTTACATTTGACTTCTCATCACCCAGGTCTATCCTGTGTATGGCCATCACATACAGCCTGTGTCTTGGTAGTTTTTTCTCGATGCATACCTTGATCGCCATCGACGTTCTGGGATTGAAGAACTTTCCACCTGCCATTGCCGTTTACTACCTGACCATGGGCGTGGGATCTGCTCTGTCGTACCCCGTAGCAGGTAGCACCACTTGACATTCATTCCCAGAAATATGCGCAGCAGAAAAAAAATCCGCAACCAAAAATTGCGCTAACAGAAAAATGCGCAAATAGCAAATAATAATACACTTTCTTTTCATTTGTTTTAATTTTGTGCAAAAATGTTTTATTATGTTACAGTGTCGGCCACACGTGGCCAGCCTTTGCTTTCATCTTTAATTAAATTATTGATACAAAAACAACAATTCCCTTGCTCGCTTTTTGCCTGCGTAGATTTCGGTTGCGTACTTTTCCTGTGTAGCATTTGTTTGGGCGATTTTACAAGGCAGTTTTCGTAAATTGCATTACAAATTGATCAAAATACACAACGATTTTGTAAGAAATCAGTGTTTTAAAAAGTTTTAATTATTTTGATAAGGGTATAGGCTGAGTTGTGATGATGAGAATGTTGGGGTGGGGTGGGGGGGGGGAGTGGTTTGGCTTATTGCGACTTGAGTGATGTCGATTAAAAGATTGGGGGGTGGGAGGGGGGAGCAGGGGCGTAGCGAGGGGGGGGGGGGGCGGGGGGGGGGGGTGCGGACCGCACCGGGTGACACCATTTAGGGGGGTGACACCAAGGCAAAAAATAGCAAAATATATAGAGAAAAACTTGAGGGGGGTGCAAATCGAAAGTTCGAGGGGTGCAAATCGAAAACTTGAGGGGGAGGGTGCAAATCGAAAGTTCGAGGGGGGGGGGGGTGCAAATCGAAAATTTGAAAGTTTGTCCCCGGGAAGGGTCGCTACGCCTCTGGGGGGTGACACCATTAAGTGCCGCACCGGGTGACAACCGACCTCGCTACGCCACTGTTGGGGAGGGAGAGAAAAAAATCGTTAAATAACGTTTCGTCCATTTCGGACTCGTTAAAAAATATCTTAAAACAAGCCACTGGACCCATTTTAGTCTATACTTACAAGTATCTTAATGTAATTTTTAATATTTTATTTTTATCTATTTAGATTATTTTTTTCTAAAATTTATTTTTTTCCACATACAGAATTTCGCATACAATTATTTTTCAAATATCTTATTTTTAGGGTTACTAAAAGACCTTACGGGGACCTACAATAACAGCTTTCATTTTATTGGGTCGTTGAACATTGTTGCCGTCTTTGTGTTGGCCCTTGTCATACCGTACACAGAAAGCTATGACGTCAGACGCGGAGTGCTGTCGCCAAGGAAAGAATAGACCAATGTTTATCATTTTTCTTATACTTAATCGGATTATTTTATGCTTTTTAATGTAAATAAATAGTTTTTAAAGTATTTTATTTTTGTAAATATGTACACGTATTTTTTTCTAAATTTCGGTATTCAAAATTTTCATTTGGGGTCATCCATAAATGACGTCACACTTGTAGGGGGGAGGGGGGTCCGTAATTTTGTGATGATTTGTGTTGAGGAGGGGTAGGGGGGGGGGGGGGTTCAGATGTTGCGACGTCACATTTTTGCATTATAAAAAAGCAATGTTAGAAAACGAATTTTAGACGTTATTTCGCGTTTTAGATAACTGTTTTAATAAATTGTAATAGTTTAGACAAAATTTTGGAAAAATATCGATGTTTAAAAAAAATTCAACTGCAATTTTGAGGGGGGGGGGGGTTGTAGGTTGAGGTGTGACGTCATTTTAGGGGGGGGGGGGGTCTGCCTTTTTGTGACGACGTGTGACGGAGAAGAGGGGGGAGGGAGGTAAAAATCGTCAAAAAAAGCGTGACGTCATTTATGGTTGAACCCTTTCTTAAAAAAAAATTACTAATTATTGTTTACCTAAATCTTGGAGGCGTACTTCGCGTTTGCCATAAGGTTCCTATCACTTTAGGAGGTGATATCTCGATCATGAATGTAATAGTTTTTTGGAATTTGCCCGGCTGATATGCATACCTAGCATTCTCCTGTCGAAGTATAGATGGCTGAAAATCGTGCTACGTCTTTGCTAGTTTATGCAAAAAGAAAAGATGCGCGGAAATTACAATTCGAATTCGAAATTAATTTTTTTTCTTTTAAGGAATTATTTTTTGTCTTATAAACTAGCTATTGTGCTAGCTAACTAGCTTACTAGCTAACTACAAGCGAACTAGTTTACTAGCTAACAAGCTACTAGCTAGCTATTGTGCAAGTTAACTAGTGTACTAGCTAACCAGCGAATTTAAAAGTGATGTCGCAAACGTGTTTAGGCACAATTATCATTTTAGTAGTCGCTAGGTATATTGATTAATTAAGAACTTAATTAATCACGATACCTAATTAGTGTGAACATGGATTATTGGTGCTTTTTTTTTTATTTAACAAAACCCAAATTTAGCGAATTTGCAAAAAAAAAAACCCTTAAAAACACTTGAATTTTATTTAAAATAGGTTTGTACACTTAATTCGAAAGATATGATATAATAACAAATAATTTAAATTTTAAAATGTTTATGCATCACAATTTCACGTTTTACATATTCGTACTAAAAATCAAAGCTTAAAAATTAAGCATCACATAATACGGTACCTGATAGACCTTAAAAAAATGACAAATTTTTTAACGCGACTTCTTTATTATTAAAAATTATTATAAAAATTGTAAATAAAAAAAATCAACAATAGGGCTGGTAAGCAGGTCACCATCCAGTTCTATGGCTCATGCAGGTTTTATTGAGCCGTAGAACTGGTTGGTGACCTACTTACCAGCCCTATTGTCTTTCTACAATGTCGACAGAGCTGGATAAAGTTACGGTAAATGGATCATCTATAGATGAAGTCAAACTCTGTGTTATTTTAGTGTGTGCTTATTTTAACGATGTTTGACAAAAGAGGTGGATGAAGTGATTATTGAATTTCAATTCATGTGTTTGTTGATTGCAGATAATATGAACATGTGAAAAATATGTCAATTGGCTTTATTATAATAAGAGTGATAATGGGTGGAGGAGAAGGGGTGTGTGTGGTGGTTTACAAATGTGAAATCATTTCACTTAAAAACGACCCCATATTTTTGCGATTCGTTAGTTTGTGTGTTTTTTTATCAAACAAACCTCCTGCACTAACGGTCGAGTAGCATCAAACGATCAGATTAACCTCGCTGGCTCGTCTTTGAGGATTAAGACGCAGATTACGACCAGCTCCTAGAATGATGAGGGCTACATTGTTGTTGCTGGTAGCCTGTTGTCTTGTAGACAGAGGTAGCACTAAGGGAAACATTCACTCAACCAAAGGAAGTAAGTACCAGTTATATATATATATATATATATATATATATATATATATATATATATATATATATATATATATATATTTATATAGGCTTATATATGTACATTATTACATAAATAAACAAAATTATTAAATAATTAATTAATTAAAATATATATATACAATATATAGTCACATACATATGTATATATATATATATATATATATATATATATATATATATATATATATATATATATATATATATATATATATATATATGCATTCATAAAACAAATACACACATTCACACATATATAAATGAATATATATTTCTCCTGTATGTAGTCTATGTGTCGCCTATATCACACACACAAATTTAAATATATATATATATATATATATATATATATATATATATATATATATATATATATATATATATATATATATATATACACATATAAACTAGCATACAAAGTGATTCTTTTCCAGTATCACACGAGTACCCCTGATCCAAATTAAAAACCGTATTGAACCAAAACACAAACATTAAGATAACATTGAAATACCTTGTCCTGATGCATGACGTCATGTTTTCAGAATCTGGACCGTTGTGTGGCAACAAACGTCATTGTCTGAGTGACGTCAGATGCAGCCGAGACCGACAGCATTGCGTCTGCCCCGCCCCCCTGTGGGGAAATGGAAAACTAGGATGCGTTAAAGAAGGTATCGGTCGTCGTGTTTGAAGCACGTTCATGTTTGCTACAGTAGATTGTTCACAGATTACCCATGTGCCACAATGGTTACTCATCCTAATCGGATTTTCTTCCAGACAAGGAAATAATCGAAGCCCCCCCCCCCCACCCCCGAAGAAAGTCTACCGCCCCCCCCCCCCCCCGAACGACATGGAATTTATATAGAAAACATATACTTTAACCAGTGTCCGTCCCCCCGGAAAATGTTGACCGCCCCCCCCCCCCCGGCGAAGTACCCCCCCCCCCCGGAGAAAAAAGGCTGGAAGAAACACTAAATACTGATCCTAATAATGACAAAATGATGACCGTAGTGTTTAACTTTATTTTTAGACTAACTCTATATCCATCATTAGCTTCAATCTTTAACCCTGTACCCGAACATAGTACACATGATTTAATTTTAACCTTAAACTGTATCAATTACTATTTCTAAGATTAGCTCTTTCGGTAAACTCTCTTTCCAACCCAGCTGGAAATGGCTAATAAATATCAAACGCATAGTTATTAAACCCTATTTTTAATTAGGCGATTTTGTCGAAACTCTAGAAAGATTAAACAGTCTTCAAATAAACTAGGGTTAAGTTAATATTGAGGTAAGCTAATAGTAAGAACTGAGGTTGGAATTTTTATTTTCTATTTTAGTAGTGATGAATTAGATGCTTTTGAAGTACGACTTCGTGAGAAGCTTAAACATAACATCACTGTCGGAATGATCTAATGATAGAGCATACGATTGCTAACATAAATGTCTTGAGTCCACTCAGCTCTAACGAGTACCGAAGCACCAACGGCAAAATCTCTTTATACTCCTTTGTTCAAAAATAATTTTAAAACTCTACTTCACCCATTCTCGTCAGCGGCAGACAAAAGAATCTCTACGCCTCTAGCTGATAATTTTCCAACTATGACTGTTTATTCTGCCATAACTATTAAGCAATATTTGGGATTTTTAAAATTCGAGGGCCTCGACCTAATGCCTTGTCAGCCCCCCCCTTGATTCGTCACTGGCCCATTGTAGCCCTGTTAGGTATAAAAATATAACTAAAAATATTTTATCACGTCATTGAGATAGCAACCTGAAAGAGCTCAACCGCGCACATTTACTCTAGTCTAAATTTAATCATGTAAAATCTAATTAAAATTATCTTAATGAGCTGACCCGCGCCGTAGCATATGCCGCTATCTAGTTGTTTTATTTTCTAATTTTCAACAATTCATAATTTGTGCATTCGAAACTACCCCACCCCCTGCCTCCCCCACCCCACCCCGCCCAGTGAAAGCAGCCGTTTACAGACGACAATGAAAATATCAAGCAGAACTTATTATCTCCCCTTAGTTTCAAATCGTTTAAAAAACTAAATTATCTGCCCCTAATAGCCGTCACTTATTCGACGGCTCCACTATTGTAAACATTCGGGGTGAACCACAGCTCACCTGACAGGTGGGGATGAGGTGGTGGCTAAGCTGCGTGGTGTTATCTATGGTCTCCATGAAGAGGAATTATATACATAGATAAGGTGTGTCGTCATTGCAGGGGATGGCGTGATCTACCTGGAGGCCGATCCGAAGATCAGGAACCTGAGAAACGAAACGTTTTCTCTGATGACGCCATGCAGGTACCGCATCCTTCACTACAAGACACCAGACAACAAGATGCTGGAGGTAAACCAACACCTGTAGACATGCCATAACAATTGTTACGATGCTTAACATCAATCATATACTCATGTCCACTGTTTCTTTCCAGAGGCGTAGTGAAGGTGGAGGGGGGGTACATGTATCATGGATACGATGCTTAACACCAATAATATACTCATGTCCATTGTTTCTTTCCAGAGGCGTAGCGAAAGGGGTGGGGGGGTACATGTGTCCCCGGGCTACGACCATGGGGGCGCCAAAATCTGTTGGAAAAAAATACATTAAAAGCTCATTTTAGCTGCAGTTTTGAATTATAAACATAAAAAATATAGGGGGGGGGTGGGCTAAATTGAGAGTTTGTCCCAGGGCGCCGGGATGGGTCGCAACGCCTCTGTTTCTTTCAATTTTTTTTCTCCGCGGTGTGGAATAAATTTTTCTGGGGTGGGTGGGGGGGGGGGGGGGAGGGAGGGGGGAAGGCTGACACTAGTAAACTTATTTTTCTAGATAAATTCTATTTTATTCGTGGGGCGGTAGACATTCTTCGCCCGCCCCCCCCCCCAACCCCTCCGAAGAGATACGAGAAAGAAACTCTGACCATAGCTTATAGGCGATATGCTATTCCACACAGCTTTCATGAGTATATCACTCACTTTGGGATTATTAAAGCGGCTGGGCTTAGTGATGATCATACTATCCCTTAATATACCGAGGTCATCTGCTTTATATATATTGGAAACTGAAGGGAACATGTGATGATGATAACGATGGTGATATGTATTTCTCATTATCATAAAATCGCTATAACAGCGTTAATCTTCTCAAGTGCTACATCCCCCGAGTCACCGTTGTTACAGTTGCTAATTGTTACATCACAAAGTATTGATTTTTTTAAAAGCGTCATCCACCTGAAACTCAATTAGAAAATTATTGAATTTCTCTCTAGCTTGATGTAACATATTGGGCGACAACGACTGCATCGCGCTATCATTCTGACCTTACAGCACAAATATTTTCCAGCACAATCTAGCTTCGTCTTACTTGTATGATTAGTCTGAAACAAGATTCACAATTCTTATAATTTTTCACGAATTTTATTTACCGAGGTGCCGAAGTATGAAAGCTGGATTTCTTCATTTAAAACGCAGACAACATTTAAAATTAGTATCTAACTACGGTTAAGTCCAGAGGCGTAGCGACCCTTCCCGGCGACCGGGGACAAACTTTCGATTTGCACCCTCCTCGAACTTTTAATTTGCACCCCACTCAAACTTTCAATTTTTGTTTTTCCAACCCATTTTGGCGCCCCCCTAAGGTCGGCGCCTGGGGACATCTGTCCCCCCCCCCCCCCGCTCGCTACGCCTCTGGTTAAGTCTATGACTGTCATAATCATTTTATCTAACAAAAATCCAACAGAAGTGACATTTTTAAAACTCTTTCAAGTTCCCCTCTATTTGTATTATTCTTTGAATTTTAAAGTATTTTTGGCAGGTATATGCCAAAAATATGACTCCAATCTATCATTCATAACACAATACATTCAACAGGTATAGTATATACCGACAAGAGGTGTTCAGTCCATCCTATATACTATATGCTATAATACAATAAAAAAGTAGTGTATATGTTGACATTTGGGGGAAGAGGGGGGTGTGATTCATTATTTATTTCTTCCTACATTACAATCAAAATGTATTTGCTGACAATGGGGGTCTAGTTCATTGAATGATAATTCAAAAGATAGGTCTATAGGCCGATAATGGGTCCAATCATGTTAAAATACATTCAATAATACGTTCAAAAGATAGGTGTATAGGCTGTCAATGGGGGTACACTCATCTTGCAATACATACCATAATATATTCAAAAGATTGGGGTCACATAGTTCATTAACCGTATAATACATTCAAAAATGCATTCAAAAGCAGAGTTACTTCTTTCAGGCATCTTTTTTTTTTGGGGGGGGGGGGGGGGGGAAGCAAGAAAGTCTACTGACTTTATACTTTATATAGTAAACATACTTTTACTAGTATCTGACCCCCGAAAATATAAGTGCCACCCCCCCCCCCCCACCCTGGAAGTCTGGAAGAAACACTGTTCATAAGATAGGCCTATATGTCGACAAGGGGTGGTTCAATTGTTCATTAACCTTACAATATATTGAAAAATACATTCAACCGATAGGTCTATATGTCGACAAGGGGTGGTTCAATTGTTCATTAACCTTAAAACATATTGAAAAATACATTCAACCGATAGGTCTATATGCCGACAAGGGGGGAAGTGTGTGTTTAATCTTGTATACATTCTACACTTCAATCACCAGGTAAACGCCGACAATGGGGGGGGGGGGATTGTGTGTCTTATCTTGTATACATCCTACACTCTAATCACCAGGTATACGCCGACAATTGGGGGGGGGTGTCTAATCTTGTATACATCCTACACTCCAATCACCAGGTATACGCCGACAATGGGGGGGGGGGGAGTGTGTGTCTAATCTTGTATACATCCTACACTCCAATCACCAGGTATACGCCGACAATGGGGGGGGGGGAGTGTGTGTCTAATCTTGTATACATCCTACACTCCAATCACCAGGTATACGCCGACAACGCCCTCTACAAGGGCGGGAAATATTACGTCAACAAGGCGGAGGTTCGGTTCCACGTGGAGTCAGACACGCATAACAACTTGGCACTTTTGATTGAGGGCAAGGCTGAGAAGGGAGTTTACAAAGTAAGTTTAACTATCAGGGTTTCTTTCACTCATTTTACTCACAAATGGTAGAGGGGGACTTAAAACTACCGGGAAGATAAATTTAAAAATAGGGCGATGTGGGGGGGGGAGGGGCTTAAATAAGAAATAAAAGTATATATTTTATATTTAATATTTTTCAATTTCACCTGGGCGGGGGCGTTAAGAAATTCAGTTTAATTTTTATTGAGAACAACACTTTAAAAGTTTTGTTAACCTTTAAAATTATTCGATATAAACTATTAGTCTATAGCGCCACTAGGAGATACTTATCGAGTATCATTTTGGTTTGTTTTTTAAATCAAAATAGAGTACAAAAATGTCTTCTATTCGCACGGTTACATTTGTTCAAAGGAGAGATTTTCTATTTCAACAGTTCAGGGTAAAGAGAAAACAGGATGAAGACTCCCATTGGTCATATCCAGCCACCGAAACTTTCACTATAGGGGACTTAACGGTCAGTTTTATGAAGCTTTTAGTGTAGGGGATTTAACGGTCAGTTTTATGAAGCTTTTAGTGTAGGGGATTTAACGGTCAGTTTTATGAAGCTTTTAGTGTAGGGGATTTAACGGTCAGTTTTATGAAACTTTTATTGTTGGTGACTTAATAGTCAGTTTTATGAAACTCTTAATTCAAAGGATTTAATGGTCAGTTTTATGAAACTAACTGTAGGGGACTTAATAGTCAGTTTTATGAAACTAAAAAGTTATGTCCCCTGTTTATTGAATACATGTTTATATATACGTCATTTTATTGGTTGATTTTGAAACAATTTTATTGTTATTCAAATAATTGTTTGTAAAAAAAAATAATCAAAAACTTCTTTCATTAGTTTTGTATACTCTTTCATGAATCTGTTTTCTATTCGCCAAAAGATCATCGTCAGCTTCGACGATATAAATAACTTCGTCCTCGTCAATGCTGACAACGGTTTTGGTTTCCGGTTGAAGTTCCGACCAGCCGAGGGTGACCGAGAATTTCAGTCACAGATTCCGGGCATGGTTCTCCATATAGACTCGTCTATGATGGGTAAGGTTGGGACCAGGGGCGGCTCATGCTAGAAATATTAACTGGGGTCCGGGGTTAATTAATTTTGATTAATTAATGAAAATTTTGTTTTAATGTCTTCGGAATTTTCTGTTTGGAGACTTTTTAGTGTGCGGGAGTTTCTGTTTCCGCAATTTCTCATGTGCGGAATTTTTAGTTTGCGGAAGTTTTTTTGAGCGCAGTTTTCCGTATATGGAATTGTCAGTGTGCGGAACTTGCCAATCTCCAGTTGGATATTTATTTGGGAACTTGCACCAATACACGTTAACGCACTGCATTGTTGATAGAATCAGTATAGGCTGAGCTTCAACATTATTTTTCAAAAATGTTAATAACTTTCAGAAAAGAATTTAACATAATTCAGTAGTTATTAAAAAAAAATACAGTTTTGTTAAAATATATAGGTAAATGTAATCGGAATGGAAATTTCAAAATAAAAAGCACATACCATAACACATACAAATGGGGCTGATAAAATGGTGACCACGTACAAAAGTAGCCCCTTTTTACTAATACTATGTGCTTGGATAAATGAAACTGTTTATATCTCTGGACATAAGCGACACATTATACCAATTTTCTACCACTGGGAGCAGTAGTGAAGTAACCACATTAGGCCTGTTTAACTAAACCGGGAGTGATCTCCCCTAAACTTTCTCGAATATTCTTATATAAAACAACACTGATAGAGTTATGATTTTTAATCCATTTTAAATACTCAAACTTTTAAAAATAGAATAGAATCTCAGAGAAAAAAGAATTGCGCACCAAGCGAACGCCGAATAAAGATGTGTATAATAGTGCGGAATATTATTAGTACTTTATAAATTCACATGCGTTTTTGAGAAATCGGAAATAGTGAAAATTACCACTTCCGGTCAACGGAAATTACTCAAAATTTGACAGAAGGCAGAAAAATTAGATTTTTTACTTACATGTGAAATTTTATTTTACTTCCACCTGAAATAGTACTGAATTTATAGGCTTTCGGAAAATTCAAAGTAGAAAAAGTTCCACTTCCGGCTATCGGAAATCGCCCAAAAGTTGATACGGATCTACGATTTTGATATAATACTTAAAAATAAAATTTCATCAACCAAGCTATAACGGTACTCAAGTAATCGTGTTTACACACAGACAGACATACACACACACAGACACACAGACATACGGAAAAGATTGCAAAATTATGTTTTTCCGTATCAGTGAGCTGTAAAACGTCGAGATTTGCAAAAGTCTCGATTTTTTTTGCACGATTACAATACTTTCTCTATACTTCGTGTATACGAGAAAGTAAAAATTCATTTTTTTGTTAATTAATTATCACTTCCTGCCTCAGGTGCGTAAGTAAAAGTAAAGGTTCCTAGCGATCCATTGGGCAGGTGAAGCAGAGCTAATGTTTCTTGAACTCAGCATATGAAGGGATAATGTGGTCAGCGCTGTGCCGCCTTAACTTTCCCAAACGTGAGTTAGGTACCTATCAGAGCTGGGTGGACTCAGAGACGTTCTACTGACTTGAACACGGAATTCGAACTTTGCCTCTTGTACATACTTCCGCACATTTTCGTTTATAATTTCACTTAATGTACTCATAAGGTTGAAGATTCTATGTCTAAAACTATAAATGCACTTTAGTGCTTTTGTTATGATTGTACTCTAATATATTACAATTCGTATCGTAACCATGACTTGGTTATGGGCTTTGGTTTTTCAGACTTGTTTGATAAAAAAATTCGCTAAAATTTTTAAATCATACGGGATAATTTCTTATTTTCCTTGGCCGCATGGACACAAGAATTCCACTCATTATCTTATTGACCATTTCCTCTACAGACCAGATTGACATAAAAGACGGTGAACTGTCTGCAGAGCCGTCTGGCGAAAGCGTTAGAGCGGAGGCCTCGCAGAGAAAGTTGGACATGCAAGACTGGGTTCTGTTCCTGACCATGACGAACGTCGAGTAAGTCCACGATCCGTCGTAACATCAAGATCACAGGAAACTAGGAGGAGGTCACCCCTCCCCAAACAAGACCCTTCCAAAATCTAAGAGCACTCCCGAATTTCTTTCCAACATTCAGCCTTCATTAAAATATAGTTGTGTAAAAACATGGATCGCTACACACATCATGATGTAAAGGATACTGATTTATTATTAACTACTGGATAGGATAATCAAATACCGATCCCGTAATATATATATATATATATATATATATATATATATATATATATATATATATTAGAAATTTTTGTTAATCGTGCACTCCCTCCAACTCAACCAAATCGCTAAAGCTTTATGGCAACATACACCCCTTCCAAAAGTAACGAAAGTGTCTAAGGAATAAGTTCTACTGTTTATTACTTACCCCCCCCCCCCTACTAGCTAACGCCCGCCTTTGTAAAAGCTTAACATTTTATACCATTTCCCTCCACATTTCTTTCCAACCCTCATCATCCGCTGAACTCTACGATCAACTTACTTGTCATTATAGCAATAATACAGAATTAATGACACAAAATTGTGGACGTGTCCTCATATTATGTCAATCATACTTGTGCTAAATGGCGTCTGCAAATTTGGCGGAGAGTGCTCAGAGATCGTTGAGATAATTATCTGAGATATTTTTGTCCGGAGATAATTTGTCTTTGAGGACATTAGTCTGATATATTTTTTTCCTGTGATATTTTGTCCTGTCACCAAATATAGGTATATATAGAGGGATATATATATATATATATATATATATATATATATATATATATATATATATTTATATATATTTATTTATATATATATATATATACATGTATATACATTGATGGAGAATGATATACTTAATTACTGCATTGTGTGTCTCCCAACCTAATAAAGCAACACATAAAACCCTTTCTAAATATCCTGCAGAAAGATAGACTCTGACTCTGAAGTCTGTGACTCCGTGTACAACGATTTTAAAAATGTGTGTAAAGACGAAAAAGAGCAGATAAAGGTAATACACAAAATATTATCACTCATTAAAATAAACATCCAAATGTTTTATATATCACTAAATAATTAGACGAACACTTTTATTTCTCACTATATAAACAGTCGAAAGTTTTATTTATCACTATATGATTTTTCCAACGATTTTTAAACCCAGATCGTAATTAGGCCCACGGTTTTATATCTCATATAATTAGCTGAATGTATTATATCTCACTATTGAAATAAGCCCACTATTTTATGTCTCACTACATAACATACATAGCCACACTATTTTCTCTCTCACCATATTAGTAAGGCTCACGATTTTATAGATCCCTATATAATACGCCCAAGATTTTATATATCTGAATATAATTAGGTTTAATTTTTGAACCTCACTATATAATTAGGCCAACAATTTTATTCCTCACTATAATTAGGTTCAAGATTTCATTTCTCACTATCTATATAATTATGCACAGCATTTTATATCTCTCCGAATACTTAGTCACACGTTTGTATATCTCACTCGGATAAACAATATTTCTTCATATTTGTTTTTGGATCTAAATTAATAGCCAGCCAGGCGACCCGCGTTAACAGAAAATTATTTCAAACAACTTATTGATACAGACTTTTGCCTTTTGTTGCTAAGGAAAAAAGTATTTAGATCATATTGCTTCTTACAATCTAATTCCATAAGAATCTTTATTGTACAATCTGTTTCTTGTTATATTTTTCTTAGAATCGACATATGATTTCGGTTTCCTATTCTAAATTTCTTTTCTATTTTTCTAGCAATCTATCTCTAATCACTTATTCTGTAAACACTCTATTCCAACAGGCGATTCGCCAGTGCAGCTCCATCTACAACGATCAAAAATTCCTAAAATGCGTAGTGGAGAATAAAATGACCGACGACTTCCTGGCAGAGCTGTACCTACATTGCCAGAGGGGCGTGTGCGGCTTTGACCTACACGAATGTCAGCTGACTAAGCAGAAGATCCTAGAGAAAACCAACTGCAATCTGCCCAGACGACTTCACGAACTTGACTGCTCTCAGCTTAAAGGACCTATCCCGGCAGAGAGCCCTTAACACAAAAAAAAAAGAACTCCGCGTCGCAGCCTACCTTAGAAATCACCCTATTCCAGTTCAATCACAATAATTCTTTCTAAGAGGAAGATTACTTTTTGAAATAAACTTAACAAAATTTGGTTTTAGGAAAAAGCTATGGTGAATTATATTTTCCGAGAAATTAAGTTATCGAAAAACCTGGAGTTGGTAAGAGAAATAATTTTGGAAATGATACAAATTTTCATCAATAAAAAATACACGAAAAACATGAACACATGTACTGTCAAAATAATCTAATACAGTATGAGTTGAATAACTTGTTGTGGTTGTTTTAAATGTCTACACTTAGAATTTTTTTAAAATTTAAGTAAAAACTTTTTGTGTGAGAGATTGAAATAGTATTTTTATAGGATGTTTTAAATCGCCAATTTAAAATCTTGAACACTGTCGCCTAGGGTGACGTTTTCTTTACTGCTTGTTGTAATGACTATTCTAAACGTTACACGGGCAGTGAAACCTTAGCCAGTGTATACTGACAAAATTCTCAGGCAGTTGTAAGGTGAAAACAAATATATTTAAAGATATATTTACACCTAGCGATCCATTGGACATATGAAGTGAAGTTCATGCGTTTCTCAAACTCGGGAATAGCGTGGTCAACCTGAGCTAGGTACTCATCAGAGTTTGGTGGATTCAGGGACGTTCGTCTAACTTGAACCCGGATTCGAACTCGAGACTTTAAGGCTAGCGGTCTAGTCTACACCATCCCTAACAAAGGTATTTCCCTCCTCACAACAGCCGCCATTTAACGATGACAATCGTTTCGATGACTTGTGCAGTGTATAAAAATATATCACACGTTATAGGGATAGAACACCTTTCAAAATGAACATTGGTTTAAAGGCAATTAAAAATGAAATAACACAAAAAAAAAACACAAGAATTTACAGTGGATACGATTTATTTTTACATTAACATAGACATGCTGCTATGATTTTAGTCGTAATTTTTTAATGTTATAATAAATAAAACTCTTGATAAATACTACTGTGTGGCTATATCAAAGGGCGTATTGACTTTCTGTGGCAATACGAACAAATCGACCTCTCTCAGATTTCAGATTATACATGTCCCAAAGGAGGTTATGTGGCATGTAATCAGATTTTAGTAAATCCCTTGCCGATACAGCCTTGCTGAATGAAAAAATTCATCATGTCATACGCTCTCTTCGGCTGGTCATAGCCCGCTGAATGTCCGGCACCTTTAATGACAACCTGGCAGAGGTTCCCAGTTCTGGAATAGAACCCAGACAGCGCGCCATCATCCCCCCACCAAAAAGTACGTGTCGCGTTGTTGTATTCTTCCTGTCTGGACCACTTCATGGACAGCAGGGCCGCGTCAATCATAGCAGGACTTACAAGAGCGTCAAAGTCTCCAGTGTAGAGCAAAACTTTGTATTTCTCCACAAGTTCGGCTAGTTTGGGTTTTGTGCTGGTTAATAAATCTGTCACCATTTGATTTCTAAATTCAGAATTCCAAATGCTGAACGTCGCATTTTCAACGTGGACAAGATTTCTCACATAAGTTGAATTCACAACTTCGATCAGACTGTTGTATTTTGGATATTCACCAGAGTAATAATTGTCTAAAGCAAATCCATCGTTATTTAAAATAAAAAGCCTGTAAAAGAATTCACCAAAGTCTGTAGCATTTAACCTATTGTGCTCAAATTCGTCGAAAATTTCATTGATGACAATCTTATGCTGATTTGCTTCCTTTCTTGAGATAGAGCCGACAGCAAGTAGATAGTCAGAGATCGCAAGACCTTGCTCATACGGGTCAAAAAATGGACCTCCAAGATAAATACCTGTTAAAGGAAGATTTGATCTTCCAGCTTCGATTTCTAAATGCAAATAATGAGCGAATGCAGGCACGTACTTTCCGGCATAAGACTTTCCGCCAATGTATAACTCTCGTTTCTGGTATTCAGGAAATAGAATGTAAAATTGTTCGATAAACTCATAAAGATCTTTAGAATAGCCATCTTGGTCGATCCTATATCCGGCGCTCCCACTGTCTGAATAGCTGAAGCCGACGCCAACGGGGTTGTCTATGTACAACATTGACATTGTCTGTGTCCACGAAATGTTGCTACGCTCGTACCAGTCCCTGGTAAGACGAATCGGACCGTTCTCAAATAACAACCCCAATGTAGACGGATTACCCGGGCCCCCATTTAGCCAAACCACAAGCGGAGATTCAGCCCCAGACGTTGAAGGAAAGAACCAGAAAAACAAATGGTTTCCGAGTTTCTCGTCCACAGTAATGAACCCAGCGTGGCTAGTCGGTATGACAGAATTCTCATCTTTTACAAGACTTAGCTCCTGCGCCAGCGTGATTTGACGTGTGCTGATTAGAGGTGACAACATCAGTGGTTGCTTTAGGGAACCATCAACTGGAAACAGTATCTGAACAAAGCAGCCTATAATCAGCAGGAATAACTTCATGGTGAAATCCTGAAAATGTAGATTAGAAAGTAAATGCTTTTTTTCTTGGCATTTTTTTACATAGCATAAATTTATTTAATTATAATTATTAAATTCTATTTGATACTCTAGCAAAATCGAAGAAAAAAATAACATAACATTTAAGTAAAATGGAAGCTGATAGGCTGAGGTCACATAAACTCTACTGAAACTCTACTTCATCTGTTGCATGTAGGGCCTAGCTAGAAAAGGTAACTTTACTTTTACATTTTATTTAATTTCATTTCTTGAGATTTTGTCTGTCCTGAATGGCCGTCAAGGCTGAAAATTCGAAAAAAAAAAAAAACTTCAGCACCATCTAGAGACCCGATCTGTGCAAACTTGATTTGTGGTACAGGATCGGTTGACAATGCAAAATGACAAGTAAATTCACGTTGTTATATTTTTCTTAAAAAGTTATGAAAATAAATAATAGATTGACACAATAGAGCTTTTAAATTAAAAAAACACAGTTTGGCACGCACGTGTTTTAAGTCATGTGATTTTTTAAAAAAGTTATCACGTATAAGTAAATATACTTGTAATTAATAAAAAAAAGTATATTTTATGCATTCTGAAGTCCAATAACAAAGAACCTCATGGTTAAAATCGCCACTGAATTTTCAAAATATATTCACAATATTGAATATAAACTTACTTTTTTTTTGCTTAACTGTTTTTGTTGTTTTTACAACCGGGTTACCAATCCAGCTAGGTCTGCCAGCTGTGAGCTTTAAGCTTCGTGGGGGGTATTTAAGCACCACGATAATTAAATGTCATGCAATTAATTCTATGATTGTTTGGGACGGCAGATGGTACATGGAAACATGACTCCAATGTGCAGTGGTGGAGGAAAAAAGGACTCCCCCTCCCCCCGAACACCCGTTCCCTCACTTCTCTCAGTAAAAACATATTTTTAGGTACGTAAAATCGGTAGAATTTAGTGATGTGAAAGGAAGGTGATTTATTAATATGGTTTTTAATAAAAGCAAAGGGTAATATGTTTGTGTCAACTATAGTAGATAAATGAAAAATAAACAAAACCGAATAAGGGATGTTGCTATCACAAACTGCCCGAATTTCCTACAGATGGTTTTTATAAACCAGTGCTATTGAGGTCGGGATGGTCGGGTCAGTATAGCTCATGGTTGCTAAACCGAAAAGTTCCGAGTTCATACCCTCGATAGCTAAGGACAGAAAAGCTTCTCTGAGAGAAAACTCACTATCAAACAACTGAAGCTAACACGGCATCACTGGGCGTATCGTCTTCCAGTAAATGTCACCTGACAGGAGTAAAAGCTTATGGATAAACGGCAACGGCCACCTGTGCGAGACCAAAGCAAAAGGAGTGACAGCCACCATACGACACTCCGCACTAGACGCCCATGCGACACTCCGTACTAGACGCGTCACTCTGTGGGTAAAGGGATAGTTTAGATTTTTTAAATATTTATTGTAAAGTAAAACACTCAACACCCACATGTAATTTCAGTATCTGTTATTTATTCTTTGCTGATTCTTAGATTTATAACTCACTAGCCGTCCCGGCCTCTGTAAAGGACCATAACTTGTGTTTATTAAGCAGAAAATACCTGGCATTTCCCGGGTTTAGTAAATATATTACTTTTCAAATTAACCCTAACCACAACCAACCAAAATCAAAGCACAAAAGCAAACTCAAACACAAACCCAAACCCAAAATCAAACTCAAACCCAAACCCAAACTCAAACCCAAACCCAAACAAATCGCAAACACAAACGTAAAAAAAACTCAAACACAAACAAAAACACAAATCCAAACCCAAAAAACTAATGCAAACGCAAACACAAACATAAACGCAAACATACCGCAAACACAAAAGCAAATACAAACACAAACGTAAACACAAACCTAAATGCAAACTCTAATGCAAACAAAACACAAATTTAGCTTTAAAGCTACGTATTGAAGGCACTAAAATCAGAGCCTCTTGACAGTAGCGTACGCAGGTGGGGAGCAGGGGGAGCGGTCGCTCCCCCTCTGGCCATTTTCAGCAAAGTGGCGCCTTTTTGGAAATTTTTAAACTCAAAGTTTTAAACGATTATATTTGTAAGAAAAAATATTTTTGGTCGGCACATCTATGTAAATCACAAGATTTATTTTCCTGCAGCAATTAAGCATAATAGTAATAGACTAGTAGAGTCTACGTGTACAAAACGTATTAGCAGCTGTATCAGTTTGTCATTCTAAAATTTAACCATTACGATGCTTTGCACTGTTTAAAAATCTCTACGGGTAGTACCACTTAGCAAGAGGGGTGTTAAGTTTAAGGCAACTGTATAATGTATTTGTTTACAAATAATTGAATTAGAAAATGTTATAAATAAAAATTCACGCGTAATTAATTTATACACAGTTGAATCGTGTAATTTATTTAAAAAAATTACAATACAGACACAAATACAACTAATGTGGCACCTCTATTTAAATTTACTTATGGGCGAACTGCGTAGCGGTGGCGAAATTTTGACGAGGTCAACAACGTCATCACGATGAAGTAGTAGTAGTATGACAGTTTGATTACGATTACAAATTGTATGAAACAGTATCAACATTCTATTAATTATTATTTTAGTTGACTAGATCTAGATCTATATTATATTTGAATAATGCTATATTTTGTAATAAAAAAAACCCAACAACTCATTTTACACTAGCACTGATCGCACAGTTAATTATCCGCTACTTATTTAAATCTATTTTTGAATCAGTATACATGCGTAATTGAATATGTATAGGGTCGTCAATAAATGACGTCACACTCGTTGCGGGGAGGGGGGGGGTGGGTCCGTAATTTTGTGACGGTGTGTGATGAGTGGGAGGTGGGGGGGGGGTTCAGATTGTGCGATGTCACACTTTTGCCTTATAAAAAAGCAATGTTAGAAAACGAATTTTAGACGTTATTTTGCGTTTCAGAAAAGTGTTTTAATAAATTGTAATAACAATTGATTAAAATACTCTATTTTGACAGAGTTCAGACAACATTTTGGAAAAATATAGCTGTATAAAAAAAATTCAACTGCAATTTTGAGGGGGGATGTAGGCTGAGGTATGACGTCATTTTAGGGGGAGGGTTTGGCTTTTTGTTACGACGTGTGACGGAGGGGAGGGGGGGGAGGTAAAAATCATCAAAAAAACTTGCTCGTAACCACATAAGTTACCACCATAATAAAATAGAATATTAAGAAGAAAATTGCTTGATTCCTATAATAGCACTAACTAATAGGTATAATAGGTATAATAACCAAATTAGATGTTTTGTTTCAATTAATGGCCATATATTCGCACGTGCAACACATGCAAGTGACATTTATGTAATGTATTTATACGACACAAAAACTCTATCAAACTCAGACAGCCCTAGAATGAGAGAAAATTCTTCTGTGTTGGGGACTAAGGTAAAGTACGGTTCCATTGTATTAAACATGTTCATAACCATTTTTGATTCTATTTAGACTTTGCTTCTTGAGATACCTTTACTGACGTGTAGGTGCGCGTCTACAATTTTACTTACATAAAAGCTAATATTTTTAAAAGACAATTATTAGATGAATTATTCTTCGCGGTTGCAGTAATATATTCCAGTTATTAATAGGCTTTTATTTAGCTTACTCAGTATGTTTGTTAGAGTGTGTGCTCATGTGTTAGTTTGGTGTGTAGCTCCGCATATCTTGTAATGTTAATTTAAGCCACTTTCCATGAACAACAGCTCACCTGATTGTTAGAGTGATCACTTCTGGCTAGTTATTTCCCCTTCTGTTATTGCATATAGTTATATATCGAATGATTTCATGTTGTTAACTCCTCTTAATTTGAAAACCCATGTAATTTATATTTAATGACAAATTAAATATCTAATTAAATTAAAAACATAAATAGACTTGTATTGTCATCGAAGCGGAACGTATATGGAAAGTTTGAACGAAATAACTGCATTGGAATTGTGTGTTAAATCGACTTTCAATATTTACCACAAAACCACAAACAAATAAAACTAAATAAAAGCTTTTAAAAATAAAAGCCTCGGTTCTCACTTATGAAAACTATATTCCTTTTCACAGGGAGTTATTGATAGGTGTACGTTATACAACAGTAGCGTCGCTAGGTCGGATGTCACCAGGTGCGGCACTTCGTGGTGTCCTCCCCAACATGTGTATGTGTGTATATATGTCAAACTACATAGGCCTACAATTTAAATGCCACATGTATGTGTATAAGTTTAATCAACGTAGACTTAAGATCAACGATGTTTATCTAAAGTCTGTTAATAATATAGTTTGATGTAGCATTGTTTTCTCTATAGTTAGCACGTGTCACCACAGTTATTATTGTCAATTTGTACTTAAAAGACTATTTAACTTTAAATAATCATTAATGGAACTGGCAAAAGGCATTTTTCTTTTGTACATTTTGAATTTTTTTCTGCCGTGGTGTCACCATCCAAAATGGTGTCACCCGATGCGGTCAGCGCCCCCCAACCCGCCTTCGCTACGCCTCTGGTTCTAAAAGCAGAATATAAAACTAGTGTTCAATTTTCATAATTTAGCGCACATGCTTTTCTTAAGTAAATAGAATTTATTTATAGTTAGGTATTCAAATTTGAAGTTCTCTTATTTTCAGGTTTCCCCTAAAGCGTTCATCCTGCTGACTTTAAGCTGCTTTGTTCTGCAACTAATGGCAGCTGATGGTTCTCTAGAGCAACCACTGATGTTGTCGCCACTAATCAGAAATCGTCAAATCAAGCTGGCGCAGGAGCTAAGTCTTGTAAAAGATGAGAATTCTGTCATACCAACTAGCCACACTGGGTTCATTACTGTCGAAGAGAAACTCGGAAACCATTTGTTTTTCTGGTTCTTTCCTTCAACGTCCGGGGCTAAATCTCCGCTTGTGGTTTGGCTAAATGGGGGCCCGGGAAATCCGTCTACATTGGGGTTGTTTTATGAGAATGGTCCGATTTGTCTTACCAGGGACTGGTACGAGCGTAGCAACATTTCGTGGACACAGACAATGTCAATGTTGTACATAGACAACCCCGTCGGCGTCGGCTTCAGCTATTCAGACAGTGGGAGCGCCGGATATAGGATCGACCAAGATGGCTATTCTAAAGATCTTTATGAGTTTATCGAACAATTTTACATTCTATTTCCTGAATACCAGAAACGAGAGTTATACATTGGCGGAAAGTCTTATGCCGGAAAGTACGTGCCTGCATTCGCTCATTATTTGCATTTAGAAATCGAAGCTGGAAGATCAAATCTTCCTTTAACAGGTATTTATCTTGGAGGTCCATTCTTTGACCCGTATGAGCAAGGTCTTGCTATCTCTGACTATCTATTAGCTGTTGGCTATATCTCAAGAAAGGAAGCAAATCAGCATAAGATTGTAATCAATGAGATTTTCGATGAATTTCAGCACGACAGATTAAATGCTACTAACTTTGTTGACTTCTTTTACAGACTTTTTATTTTAAAAACCGTTCGATTTTCTTTAGACAACTATTATTCTGGTGAATATGCAAAACAATACAATCTGATCAAAGTTGTGAGTTCAACTTATTTAAGAAATTTGATTCACGTTGGAAATGCGACGTTCATTATTTATAATTCTAAGTTTAGAAATCAAATGGTGACAGATTTATTGACCAGCACAAAACCCAAACTAGCCGACCTTGTGGAGAAATACAAAGTTTTGATATATGCTGGAGACTTTGACGCTCTTGTAAGTCCTGCTATGATTGACGCGGCTCTGCTGTCCATGAAGTGGTCCAGACAGGAAGAATACAACAACGCGACACGTTCTGTTTGGTTGGGTGATAATGGCACGCTGTCTGGGTTCTATTCCAGAACTGGGAACCTCTGCCAGGTTATCATTAAAGGTGCCGGGCATTCGGCGGGCTATGACCAGCCGAAGAGAGCGTATGACATGATGAATTTTTTCATTCAGCAAGGCTGTATCGGCGAGGCATTTACTCAAATCTGATTACATGCCACATAACTTCCTTTGGGACATGTATAATCTGAAACCTGAGAGAGGTCGATTTGTTCGTATTTCCACAGAAAGTCAATACGACCTTTGATATCGTCACACAGCACTATTTATCAAGAGTTTTATTTATTACTATAGTATAAGATTCTGATTAAATACTTAGCGGCATGTCCGTGTTAAATAAAAAATGTATTGTGTTTAAATTCTTGTGTTTTTGTGTGTTCTTCTTTCATTTTCTAATTCCTTACTAAACTGATTATCACTTTGAAAGATGTTCTATCCGTATATCGCGTGATATATTTTCCTACACTGGGCAAGTCATCGAAACGTTTCCAATCGTTAAATGGCGGCTGTAATGAGGAAGTAAATACATTTGCCAGGGATGGCGTGGACTAGACCGCTGGCCCAAAAGTCTCGAGTTCGAATCCGGGCTCAAGATAATGGAACGTCCCTGAGTCCACCAAACGCTGATGGGTACCTGACTCACGTTGACCACGCTCGAGTTTGAAAAACGCATGAACTGAATCTGTCAAATGGATCGCTAGGTGTGAAGAGGAATCATTACTTTTTAAATATATTTGTTTTCACCTTACAACTGCCTGACAATTTTGTAAGGATTCACTAGCTGTGTAACGTTTAGAATGCATTTAAAATAACCACAACAATTCATACTGTATAAGGTTATGCTAATTTTTTATTGATGAAAATGTGTATAACCTCCAAAATACTTTCTTTACTAACTCAAGGTTTTTTGATAACTTAATTTCCCAGAAAATATAATTCACTTTAGTTTTTTTTTACTAAAACACATTTTAAAAAAAAAAATTATTTCAAAAAGTAATCTTCTTTTAGAAAAAACTACTGCGATTGAACTACAATAGGTTGATTTCTAAGGTGGGGTGTGAAGCGGAGTGTTTTTTTTTTGTTAAGGGCTCTCTTCCGGGATAGGTCCTTTAAGCTGAGAGCAGTCAAGTTCGTGAAGTCGTCTGGGCAGATTGCAGTTGGTTTTCTCTAGGATCTTCTGCTTAGTCAGCAGACATTCGTGTAGGTCAAAGCCGCACACGCCCCTCTGGCAATGTAGGTACAGCTCTGCCAGGAAGTCGTCGGTCATTTTATTCTCCACTACGCATTTTAGGAACTTTTGATCGTTGTAGATGGAGCTGCACTGACGAATCGCCTGTTGGAATAGAGTGTTTACAGAATGAGTGGTCAGAGACAGATTGCTAGAAAAATAGAAAAGAAATTTAGAATAGGAAACCGAAATCATATGTTGATTCTAAGAAAAATATAACAAGAAACAGATTGTACAATAAAGATTCTTATGGAGTTAGATTGTAAGAAGCAATATGATCTAAATACTTTTTTCCTTAGCAACAAAAGGCAAAAGTCTATATCAATAAGTTGTTTAAACTAATTTTCTGTGAAATTCAATACGTTTAAAAAAACTATTGCGGGCAAGGTGGAAAGGGAGAGATATGATGTTACTAAAAGTGGGGATTTTTTTTTACATTTCTTCTCACAGACCTTTATCCAATGGTTAACGCGGGTCGTCTGACTGGTTATTAATTTAGATTTTAAAAAAAATATGAAGAAATATTGTTTATCCGAGTGAGATACAAAAGTGTGTGATTAATTTTTTGGTGAGATATAAAATGGTGTAAATAATCATATAGATAGTAAGAATTGAAATATTGAGCCTAATTATATAGTGAGGAATACAATCGTTGACCTAATTATATAGTGAGGTTAAAATATTAGATCAAACTATGTAGTGATATATAAAATCTTGGGCGTATTATATAGGGATCTATAAAATCGTGAGCCTTACTAATATAGTGAGATGTAAAATAGTGTGACTATGTATGTTATGTAGTGAGACATAAAATGGTGGGCTTATTTCAGTAGTGAGATATAATACATTCAGCTAGTTATATAATGAGATATAAAACCTTGGGCCTAATTACGATCTGGGTTTAAAAATAGTTTGCCAAATCATATAGTGATAAATAAAACTTTCGGCTATTTATGTATTGAGAAATAAAAGTGTAGGCCTAATTATTTAGTGTTATATAAAACATTTGGATGTTTATTTTAGTGAGTGATAATATTTTGTGTATTACCTTTATCTGCTCCTTTTCGTCTTTACACACATTTTTAAAATCGTTGTACACGGAGTCACAGACTTCAGAGTCAGAGTCTATCTTTCTGCTGGATATTTAGAAAGGGTTTTAGGAGTAGCGCCATTAGGTTGAGTTACACTCGATGTCTGTCATCTGGTGCTAGGGCCTTGTCGTGGCTTGGCAGCTTGTGTACCCTGACGACCCCCAGAGCTATACCAGCGGGAGTGTAAACTCCTGGTAGGTTCAACCAAGCTGGGAAGGTCTGCGCGGGTAGGGGTCAGACGAAAGCTAGCACCCTGGTCCTCCAGGTTAGGGGTTGAGCCTAAGGTCAGCAAACTTATATCGTAAAACTAATTACTCGTTACAGAAACGCAGACAAAGAGAAATACAGACCTGAAAAAGAATGGATTGGAGAATTTATGAAGCCAGGTTGTGAAAGCCAATATGTATCGGAAAGTACCAGGTCGACCACTATTATTTCCACCAGGTCCACCATCAATATTGGAGCTTGGAATGTCTGCACAATGTATGAAGCTGGAAAAGCAACCATAGTAGCCGCAGAAATGGATGAAAATAGCTATCCTGGGTATCAGCTAGTCAAGGTGGACTGGCTCAGGACAAAAAAGACTAACAGGAGAGCTCCTGCTGTTCTCAGGCCAAGTGGATGAAAATGCACCACATACTCAAGGAGTCGCATTCATTCTGTCAAACCAAGTACAAAGGGCTCTCATTGGATGGGATGCACACTGCCCGCGCATCATAACATAAAATTAAAATATGAAGAATAAACATGGACATAATACATGCCTACGCCCCAAAAAATGACAGCAAAGAAGAGGACAAAGATGAATTCCTCAGCAGGCTAATGACAATTATCCCGAACCGCCCAAGAAGAAATATCCTTATACTCATGGGCGACTTTAATGCTAAGATTGGAAGCAAAAACAGAAGATATGAAGAATGTAATGGACAGCAGGGTTTAGGTGAGATGAATGAAAATGGAGAAAGATTTGCTGACTTGTGTGCTAAAAGTAATTTAGTAATCGAAGGGAGTCTCTTTCATCACAAAAGGATACATAAAGCTACTTGGGTATTACCCGACTTGTCTACAGAAAACCAGATAGACCATATATGTATCATAAAAAAGTTCAGAAAATCACTTCAGGATGTACGCGTCAAGAGAAGAGCTGATGTTGCTTCAGACCATCACCTACTGGTAGCTAAAGTAAAACTCAAGCTGAAGAAAAACATTTTGGAAAAAAATAGGAAATACATGTATAACACTGGCCTACTTAAGGACCTCTCTAAGCTAACTGAATTCAAGCTCTATATTTCCAACAACTTTCACGTTCTACAAGAGCTAGTAGCTAGTAGCTTACGAGAAGGCCTTTGATAGCCTGGATAGACTGTCAATGAGGAAATTGTTGAGACACTATCGGGTGCCACAGAAAATAATCAACATTATTATGTCTTCATATGAATACACACACACACACACACACATACATACATATATATATATATATATATATATATATATATCTGTCCTGGCTAAAAACAAAATGTTTTGTCGTTTCTAGAACAATCGTATGCACCTGTGTCTACATCTGTCAAAATCACGTAATCAATATTGCCATTTCAGTAACAAGACATGTTTTAACCTATCTATCAGCGATTGACTGGGAGCACCCAAGCGGGCCTGGGAAAAGGAAAGCGGCCCATAAGTCCGGTCAATCCTATATAAACCAATCTGCACCATCATGTGTAAATTTAAAAAATTTCCAACCATAGATAATTCTCACCTTTATAGTTATATAAATAAATAAATAAATATATATATATATATATATATATATATATATATATATATATATATATATATATATATATATATATATATAGGTCTTTATCGGGGGGGGGGGGTGACACCATGAGGTCCCGCACCGGGTGACACCCGACCTCGCGACGCCAGTGCTCACCCATACTTCGAGACCTATCATCAAGTGATTTGTACTTCACCCTACAGACACAGATTATTGGGACACCCGCCACTAAACATTTGTCATGTTGTGTGGTGCGTGATGTAATTCAGCTTATTATATTCCAAAACATGATAGTTGTTGAAGTAGTTTCGTCTGAATTCATGTAATTCTTTATTTCTATCGTGTCAACTATTTTCTGAATTTGATTCATTTTACCATGTCACCATGTTTTTTGCAGAAATCAAGTAATAATCTGAGGGGTTACCAATCTGGTAATATGTTTTTAGCGCATATGGCAGACAACATAACACTAAGCATTCATGCTCATTATGTTCATTGTTCGATTGTGTTGCCCCAGTCTATCTAATGGCTGATGAGTTTGAAACCTGAATACAAAATTTGGCATCGTAATACGCTTCGTTTGAGCAGGTGTACACTCTACCATCCAACCACCGCTATCTTGATTGGAGTAAAACTACGAGCTAAAAATCAATGTGTTTTATTGAATTGTGTCGGTGTTTGTTCTGTTAGCAATTGTATCATAGTCTAGAGCCGTAGAGAATCGAAATAATATGCCGATGTGATAAGAAAATGGTTTAAGGCGCACGACTTCTATACCTAAAAATTCCAGTTCAGAATATTGATCCAAGTCTGTTGGACGTCCGTAAGCTCATCCACTTGAAATGGGTGCAAAAGATAGGGAAAGCCAAGATAACCGGGTGAGGAGCTAGACTTGACGATTACAAGAAAACAGAAACTATATTTCAATAGCCCTAGAAACTATTTATTTACACATATACATATAGGTATACACATATAAACAGACACATACACACACACACATATATAAATAAATAAATAAATAAATAAATAAATAAATATATATATATATATATATATATATATATATATATATATGTAAGCCCTGCTAGGGGGGGATACCTAAAATCTACCCTTCTATGCTTATCTAACTACTGTCCGGTCAGTGCAACCGTGGTAGAACCCACAGTGGTTAAACCCTAACCTTAGTCTAAATAATAAGCTACTAAAATAAAACAAAAACCT